ACATATTCAGATATAGCTAAACGGTGTCACACACTACCACAGCATACAACAAAACTGCGGGACACTGGAGCCAAGATGTTATTTTATCATCATATTGTCGCCGCAAATTCGGCTTGTAACTTAACCTTAAATGATGTATTCGACCCGTTTTCATTTAACTTATTAACAGTTCCATTAATAACCCATCTGCTCCTACAGGGGGTCTAGTGTATACTCAAGCAAATCTTCGAAATAACTGAATAATAATTGAAGAATGCCCTGATATATTGATACATAAATTGTAACGTTCTTATCTTCAACATTAAGACCAATTATGTACCAGTATATTAAGATTAAGCAGCATACGTATAGAAATACGATACGTATTATAAGTTGGTCACTTTCTTTGCTACAATAAAATATATAAACAGCATCTCATCGATCGTTTATCATTATTACGAATATTCAACAAACTTGAAAACTACAGGAATTCAACAGTTGGTTACAAAAAAATTGATAACCCAAAATTAAAAGTTAAAAAAATTTTTGATAAACTTTAAATTTATGTACGAGGTCTATTCAGAAAATAACCGAACTTTTTGAAATACCAGATTCAGATGTTTTGTTTCTCAAAATTCGTCTTCAATGTATCCCTTCCAAATGTATCTATTCTTTAGATTTCTATGTTTCTTGAATTATCGTGCACTCTAAGTGTCGTTAGACCCTGTGAAATCCACCTATTTGTTTAAACTATTACTATCACGCGTTATAATAAAACATTATTAGAGTTTTAATCTCCATCACCTGGTCATACATAAATCGATAAGTTGTTGCGTTAAAATTAAAACATTACTACAATTTTAATTTCATTATGACAAATTAATTCTTAAAAATACATATGAACAACCAAAACTCCAAATAAATATTATACTTTAAAAAATTACAATAATGTTCAAAAACGTTTCCGTTTTGGCAAATGTTAAAAATTAAGATAAGCATAATATGATCGGAATTTATTATACCTATAACCGCAACTGTGAAAGAACATGTCAGATGTATTTGTATGAATATCCTGAAAAAAATTGGATCGAAATTTGTTTGAATTTTGAGCACTCGAGAAACCTAGAAATAACTATGAGCACGGGATAAATTTGGAACGAATACATTGAAGACGAATTTTTAGAGACAAAACGTCTGAATCTGGTTCGAGCTGAGGCAGTACAGTATCGGGAGTCATGGAGGCTTGCAAAAAATGTAATAAAATTTCCAGGGTCGTATTTAAAAAAATGATGTTGATGATGGTTTTGGAAAGACGAAATATTACATCTAAAAATTGATTATGCCATTCGATAGAGGGCAAAAAGTTGCCATGAGAAAGTGTTCTTCTCTTTTCAATATCACTTCAAACAAGGCTGAAATTACAAAAACCGATTTCCAAAATTTCTTCGTTTTTTTTCAAATATTTCGAAAACTAATCATGTTTGCCTTGACTTTTTAGAGGCATAATTTAAGCTACTTCGTATTTCTTACCGTTTCCGTAAATTGTGCTTAAAATTAGGAACTTTAATAAAAATTTTGAATTTACAACATCAAGGAGAAAGAATGCCATGATTGTAAATAAATCTGTCCACCTCAAAAGTAATCTTTAAAAAACACACAAAAATGTTTACATTTACACAAACTTAATAAATTATAAACTTTTTTAATAAACTTGCCCTACATCATGTAAGGAAATTTGAATTGCAAGACATTATTCGATACTGTACAAATCAAGCAGAATGTGATATAATGAGTTTGGTTGGAATAAAATCGATATTAGTTTTTGAATTTCTCTGTGGATATAATTAAAAATTGGACATTAATTTTGTCCACATATATCTAAATTGTGTAGAGGCGTGTTTCTTAGATATTATTTAATTGAGGCAAAACATATATTGCATTTAAAATGCGTAAATTTTTTTCTGAATTCCTGAAATTTTTTAAATATAAAAATTTACAAGATCTAAATTAGATCTCTGTTGAATTATATTAATTTTTTTTTAAATTTGATGCATGATTTATTTTTTAGTGCAAATGCGATTTTTTTATAAATCATGAATTTTGAAACATCAGATACTCAAATGTACCTTTAATTATTTTTTATTAACTTCATATGTTTAAATTATTTGTAACAGTTTATCAGTTAAATATAACAATAATAATAACTTTAATAAAACAATTAGCTAGACAGATTCAAAGGATACATCGAAAGATGATTAAATTAAATATCGTGACAAGTAAAATATGATAGACTCCATGATAGCTAAATGTTGCTGATTTGCTAGTTCATGAAAAATTGTCATCGTTTGCGAATATTTATTATTGTGTATTAAGCATACGCATTATCTTTTGAATATAAACGTTATGCAGACAAATTATAGAAGAAAAAAATAGCTAATGTTGAATGTAACATCATATTTATTGGTATATTTAAATCTTAACGACAGTAAGATATCTAGTAACGACAATAAGGTGTTTTAAAGGTATCAATTGTTTTTCAAGGTGCAAACTGATACGAGATTTTAAATATTTCAACTCACACAAGAGATAATTCAAATTTCTAAAATAATTTAAATTTAGATTTTTGTCTGTTTTGGGTAGTCATTAATTTATAAATTGTAATTGCATATTTTACTAATATACAGTGATGGCCAAAAGTACGGAATAAAATTCATATCTTTTGAATGAGTTATTGTTTTTTAAAACGCCGAAACACGTTAACTGATTTTGATTTTTTCCCATCTTTCGGTTATATAATAATTAATTTTTCTTCAACCCCCTAACCCCCAGCTACCCCTACTTTTTTTTTAAAAGGAAACAAGGCATAAGGGGGCTCGTTGAAAAGCTTATAGAAAACCGAATCCAGCCATACCAAATAAACAAGTTTTATTTTTTCAATAGCAAGGTTTTTAGGGTTGTATAAAACACCTACTTAACAAGTGAAATAAAATTTAATTATCTTCAGTGTTATCCTCCATGAATTTGCACAGAATAAAATAAAGAATTTGAAACTGTACCTATCACTGCTAACGCAAAAAAGATATATTTTTTATGTTGCGTTTTTTTGGCACCACTTACTTGCCAGGCTTTCTGGTTAATTTTTCGCTTTAGTTGTAAATTGGAGTTCGAAACGTTACTATTGTGTCAAAATCAAGTTATTTACTGAATTGCAATGGTATTGTCGGAAAGGCAACGCATCGAAATCTTGATATTGCTTGGATGTGGAGACAAAATAAGAAGTCAGGCTGAAGTGCGCGATTTATTTAATGCGAAATATCCCGAAAACCAAATCTCGCAAGGGACAGTTAGTAAAATATTTCACAAATTTGAGGAACACGGTACAGTACAGACTTTGCCCAAAACTGGACGGGCACGTGCTTTGAATGAAGAAAAGAAATTAGACATTGCATTAGAACTTGTTGAAAATCCTCATACTTCAACTGTTTCATTGGCCCGCAATCACGATGCTTCTCGAACTGCAATTCGAATGTTTCTGAAACAAGAGAAATACCACCCCTATAAGGTATGTCTTGTCCAAGAGCTTTTGGAAGACGATTATGATAGGCGATTACAATTTTGTGAGGAAATGATGAGACGGTGTGACGACAATAATGGTTTTCAACGAGACGTACTTTTTTCGGATGAAGCTACGTTTTATTTAAATGGAGTGGTTAACAGGCACAACTATCGCTTTTGGTCCCAGGAAAATCCACACTGGACATGCGAATCGCATACGCAGCATCCACAAAAAGTTAATGTATGGGCAGGTATCATCAACAACAGAATCTTGGGCCCATTCTTTTTTGAAGAAAATCTTACTGCCGCACGCTACCTGGATTTCCTAACATTTGACCTGATACCTGCTCTAGCTGTGATTTTCCCTCATGAAATTGATCCAGATATACCGAATGAAAGAATTTGGTTCCAACAAGATGGCGCTCCCCCACATTTTGGTATTGATGTTCGAAGATACTTAGATGAAATGTTTCCAAATCGCTGGATTGGTAGACGGGGTACAGTTGAATGGCCGCCAAGATCCCCCGACTTAACACCCCTGGATTATTTTCTTTGGGGATATTTGAAAGAAAGAGTCTACCAGGACAGACCGGATAATATTGAGAATTTAAAGAACAAGATTAGGGCGGAGATGCATAATTTACCAGCTGAAGTCATTCAGAATGCTGTGGACAGCTTTTACTATCGTCTTGGAGAATGCCAAATAGTGAATGGAGGACATTTTCAGCATTTGCGACATTGAGTTTATTTTTGTAAATTATCTAGTTGTTTCAATTTCTAAATGAAAAAAAACTTGTTATTGAAAAAATAAAACTTGTTTATTTGGTATGGCTGGATTCGGTTTTCTATAAGCTTTTCAACGAGCCCCCTCATGCCTTATGTTTCCATTTGAAAAAAAAGTAGGGGTAGCTGGGGGTTAGGGGGTTGAAGAAAAATTAATTATTATATAACCGAAAGATGGGAAAAAATCAAAATCAGTTAACGTATTACGGCGTTTTAAAAAAAATTAACTCATTCAAAAGATATGAATTTTATTCCGTACTTTTGGCTATCCCTGTATACAATTGTGGCATAAATTATCAATAAATATACGGTTCGGCAACCTCCGTTGATTATTTCACTGAATGAAGAATAGTTTTGCATTCTTAATCAAGGCCATTAAAATATTATCAGTCAGAAGGATTACAGGAAAAGGTAGATAATTCTACAGCAACAAATACATTACATTATGTATTTTTAATTATCAACAGAAGAAAACAGATTCTGTATCAATTTTTAATATGTACCGTCTATAAAAATACCAAGTTAAGTATACACAAAACACTCTGTACGTTCCGCGTATTCATTGAGTTAATTAATAACTCGGCAATATTTTCTTTCGTTTTGTGTTTACAAACAACTTGTGAGAATACGTTGTGCCGCAAGAACACCACTTAGAACTAGTAAAGGTTCAGTAAAAAACTCACCTAGTTTGTAATCCGGAGATTTCCTTTGGGATGGGTGTAATCTATTGGTCTTCCAGGAGAAATTCCGGTCTGGTAAAGGTTAATGTCGATACGGGTTACCGTGACGGTCGTCCAACTTTCGCTTTGCGAGAGCACGATAGTCGCCGATATGTCTGCGAACCGACTGACTGGCCTGAAAGTGACTGAAATGTGGAATGTAGTTAGTAAAATATAAAACACGAAACGTTGGGTTGGTGCCCGATATTGCACCTTGCGCGTGGCAGCGTTGCCGGATCGCATCGATTTATTTTCCTTGAACAAAAAAATTGAAAGCATAATGTGAACAATACTCTCAAATGAATACAGCTTTCTCAAATTAAAGATTTGTTAATTATTTACTATGGCCCATTTTAAATTACGCACCTGAATATATTGTCAGAGAAGCCACCAATCTGAATATAACTCTTGAAAGTTGTTGGGTTCGGAGCGAAACATCGGATGGAGACCTTCAATTTGACCTTGACATTGGCATTCAAGGTCATTTGAAGGTCAGACCTAATTTTTTTAAATAGGAACCTCTATTTTTAATCCAGAATTCGGAAAGATCGCAAAATTTTACGTTTAAATAGGTACTTAAGGCTCTTCTTTGGAATAACTTTTAAAGGTTATTTCAAGAACAGAATATTCTAAATTGCGCAGCTGAATATCTCGTCAGGGGAGCCACCAATACGAAAATAAACCTTATAAAATTTGTTGGGTTCGGAGGGGGATATCGAAAGCTGTCCTTCAATTTGACCTTGACGAACAAGAAGAGCCTTATGTACCTATTTAAACGTAAACGAACGTATCTAAACTTAAACGAGCCTTAAGTACATATCTAAACATAAAATTTTGCGCTCTTTCTGAATCCGGTGTCAAAAATAGAGGTTTATATTTAAAAAATTAGATTTGACCTTCAAATGGCCTTGAAGGTTAAGGTCAACGTCAAATTTAAGGTCACCATCCGATTTCCCCCTTCGAACCCAACAACTTTCGTTTGTAAGGCTTACTTTCAGATTTAAAATTGGACACCCTGTAGAGCTAAACTATCAAAATTGTATAAAATTTTGCATATCCAGAGTGTGAACGTGAATCTAAAGTTATTTTTGTACGATCGAACCTAGTTACGTTCTATATGTATTTTAAAATACTTGAAGTTAGAGATCTAGTAATTCATGAGAAATACAGGGTGGTCCGAATTTTATGCAGGAAACTTCGAGGGCATATAGATCTCTTTAAAATAATAGGTGTTTGCCTAATAAACATAGGTCTGGAACGGCCTCGTTTTAGAGATACAGGGTGTTGAAGTTGTTAAAAAAATTTAATTTTTTGTTTATATCTCCGGAATCTATTAACCGATCTGAACAAAATTTGGTACAGATAATGGATGACAGTAGGCCTTGCATTCTCTAAAATATGAGCTCTAAAGGATCTACCAGTGGTGTACAACTGGACAGGGTCACCCTTTTTTTATAAAAAAAACCTACGCCACTGTATTTTTTACAATCTATTGTAACGGATTTATATTCTAATGTACAAAATACGTAAAAAAGGTAACGTGAATTTTTTCCCTAAAGTTCACCGTTCTCAAGTTATTCATACGAATACAATCTCCTTGTGGCGGATACTTCTAACCATAATATTACAAGAATATTTATGTTTATGCTTAAAAGTAAGTGCAATTTGTAAGCACATCAACAAAATTCTTTACACTCGTCGCTTTCATCTTTTGGATTAAAACGATATTTGGAAAATCACGACGGCTCAATGAAAGACACAGAAATGAAATTTTAAGAACATTGGGGTGAGTAAATCGAAAATTTGAAAAGTTCTACATAAGGATGGTAGAAATCCGTACTATTTACAACCTGTGCAAAATTTACTTCCGGGAGATGTAGACACACCTGAATTTTTGTTAGTGGTTGTTTTAAAGTCACAACATAATCCAGAATTCTTACTAGAAATACTTTGGACCGATGAGGCTACGTTCACAAGGCGAGGGGTAGTGAATTTTCACAATATTTGGTCACAAGAAAATCCTCGTGAAATTCGGATAAGATCTTTTCAACGAATTTTCTGGCTCGGAATAATTCGGACTTTATTTCTTGTCACCCCATCTAAATTCCCAGCATTTCTAAACTTTCTAGAAAACCATCTATTTGAATTATTAGAGGATGTTCCATTAAATATACCACAAAATAGCTGGATACAAATGGATGGTGCTCCTGCGCATTTTAGGAGAATAATACAATAATGGCTTAAAAATTATATGGGGCGATGGATAGGTTGAAGACCAAATGCCAATGTCAACCATAATGGTGCAGAGAATCCAGTCTCTTGGCCAGCCAAATCGCCAGATCTAAACCCCCTGGACTTCTACGTTTGGGGTTACCTATCTGAAAAGTAAAGTTTACTCTACTCCACCACAACTACTGCAGCGAATAGAAGAGGGGTGTAATGAATTAAAAGAAAACCACCACATGATATTAGTTAGGTAATTCCATTAATCATTAATAGAAATTGTCAGAAATGTATCGATGTGGATGGTTCGCATTTTGAACAATTGCTGCAAATACGTAACGTTAATTTCATTTCTTGTTTAATTGTCGTTGCTTGGTAAATGTATTTTTATTATTATTTTCATTTAAATTGTCCTTATTTGTAAAGATAGTGGATTAAGCCTCCAGGAGAAACTAAAATACACTAGGAACACTACCTCACAGGTGATGTGGAAATAATTTTGTTGATCTGCTTACAAATTGCACTTCCTTTTAAGTATAAACATAAATATTCTTGTAATATTATGGTTTGAAGTGTCTGCCACAAGGGGTTTGTATTTGTATGAATAACTTGAGAACGGTGAATCTTAGGGAAAAATTTCAAGTTACCTTTTTTACGTATTTAGTGCATTAGAATATAAATCCGTTACAATAACTTGCAAAAAATACAGTGGCGTAGTTTTTTTTATAAAAAGAGGGCGGCCCCTGTCCAGTTGTACACCACTGGTTGAACCTTTAGAGCTCATATTTTAGGAAATGTAAGGCCTACTGTCATACATTATCTGTACCAAATTTTATTAAGATCGGTTAATAGATTCCGGAGATATAAACAAAAAATCAAATTTTTTAACAACTTCAACACCCTGTATCTCTAAAACGAGGCCGTTTCAGACCTATGTTTATAAGGCAAACACCTATTATTTTAAAGAGATCTATATGCCCTCGAAGTTTCCTGCATAAAATTCGGACCACCCTGTATATTTCCAGAAATTTTAAGAAATAATATGTATAATATTTATATTATTTCTTGACATTAAATCGGACATTTTCACATCGTGATATAAATATTTCCTCCTCTCTTGTTTGTTTGTCATCCTCTGAAATAGGGTTACTAAGTACCGCAAATTTATTTCTTCGACAATTCTTTCAATTCCTAGATTAGCTGAATATTAAAGGGAGATAACGCACAATTCAAGTCATGTAAAATATCTTGAGGTAACCCACATAAGTTAGTTATACCGGCTCTAAGAGTTGGGCTCAGAATCCATAAAAATGAAACATGTACTTCACATGTCTCCCACGAATTATTAAATCTTTAAATACGTCTTTTAAAAGGTATATACTGGGTGTAAGAGGTTTGACTGCCATTACTTCAGCATGAGATAGAGTAATCATAAATGAACAAAAAAGGTGTATACATATAACAGGGGGTAAGATTAACAGTTTTCAAAATACAGCGAGTATTAATATTGGGGAGTTTCATCACAACGTGGCAACAGCGTTTAACTTGCTGATGCACACCACGTGTGCACTCGGCAGACTTGTCCTACGGAAAAAATGTAAACAACTACTATTGTGAAACATTTAGTAAATTTCAAGACAATCGTTTTCCAGTATTTAAATAAATAAAATAAAATGTATCGGTTTTGTAGTACGAAGATAGTGTTGTGCTTAAATTTTAGCTCGAATTTTAGTAATTATGAATCTCTTAAAACAGGAACTTAACTTTTAATCAAATTATGAATTTGAAAAATATGTAATTAAATTACCCAAAGATTCATGTTATCCAAATAATCATACGTAGTAAAAATAATTTAGGTATGTAATTACAAAAAGCAATAATCAGTAATTTTTAAAGGCACAAGTACAAAACAAACTACAACATATGCTCAAAATGTCCACCACCATTTTCGATGCACGCACGACAACTGCAAATCCAATTTTCGCGCAATCGCTGGAAAACACCTCAAGAAAAGGAAATAGTGGTACGCAAAAAACACTCAGACACGGTCCAGTTCCAGATACCAACTGAATTGCATATCGCTGGACAGCTTAGTACCTCGCCGTTGTCACATTGCTCGATATGAATCTTATCGTACTTTAAATTTATTACAACGCTAATTATTTTTAAGAATTAAGAAAAAGTGATAAACATTGTATTTTATGACATTCTATGCACGCAGTTATGTCAATATTCCTTAATTAATCGAACTTTTGTACATCAAGTTGGAGATTTTGATAATTTTTTTCTCGGAAATAGTTGAGTTTAGGACCCATGTCGTATAAGATTTTTTTGTTTATCTTAATGTATTCTATCGTCTGTTAAAATTAAGGCAGTCAAACTTCTAACACCCTGTAGACAGTACAAAGTCGTATACAGGGTGTTATTTGTCAATCAGCTAATTGTCAATAGTACAGTTTGTTTTCGAATAACCAGAGCTTACTATGACAGTTTTACGTAAGTAACTACAAACTTTTATTTTATTTTATTGCATCCAATAGAAAAACAAGAAATAAATCGAAAACGGTTAAATTTATCGACATAAAACAAGTATCCCTTATTTGTGAAAAATAGATAGAAGAACAGTATTTTCCTATTAAAACTTTCGTACACACACTGATAAAAAGGTTATAACCAGTTTTTATCGACCAAGAGTACATTTCGTAGCGCCCTCTAGCGTCTACAGCAAAATTAAGTACGGATCCGTTTTTTTCGTCCCAGAAAACCCCCTAATCCAAATTTTCAAAAGAATCCTTTGAAAACTTTCTAAGAATTTTAATAATTTCGAATTCAAAATTTCAACTTTAACGCCCTGTAACTTTTTTATTAGCCACAAATGGACCAAGGTAAGTTTGGCTTAATCGCATTATTTTGATGTAAGGAATCTACCCTTGCTCTGTGTCCCATTAATTTCGGGACACCCTGTATAGTGAAAATAAATGTTGTATTAAATGCGGAGGTTAGAAATTTGATAGATTAGAAATAAAAGATTGGGTTCAGCAGTACAAAAACCAAATTCATTCAATCGAAAATAAGAGGTAGGTAAAATTTCGTGATTATCTGGTATTACAATATAGTAAACAATTACCGAACATTTTAATTCTTATTGCGTACTTGCTTTATATACATACTAATAAATGAATAGTTCTCACTATAATCATAATACAACAAGAATAATAGACGCAAAATTACGTTAATTGTAAAGTATTACAAAACTACTATTATATTAGTGCCGTGACGTCGCTGGTCAAAATCATCATGCAATTTGGGGAAAAAATCTATTACTTACACATAAATGCTCAAACACAAGCACATTTTGCTGCTAATTTGCAGATTTTTCCTCCAATTTTAGAGATCCTTTAATCTTTTTAATGGACTGTAAGAGGTATATCCTTTACTAAGCGTTGAGAATCTGTGTATGGTTTTCAAGAACTTAGTAAGTAATAAAATACGATTTCCTTACGTAAGAATTAGACATATACATACATAATAGCGAGTCGAAAATTTAAAACTGATTTGTATGCAATTTCACATAGTTAAACACATGATATAAAATAACAAATTCTGCAGTTTTCCTTAATCACAGACTAAACCTCTGTGTCAATTGTCAACTCATCGAAATAATTCGACAAGTAGAATTTATAGTGGTACTAATTGCATTTGATTTTTTTTAACAGGCACATTATTTAAACGTTATTTCAACTTCAAACTAGTATATTTGGAATTATTTTTGATAAAACATAACCAACTTTATCTAAAAAAATCCTCTAGACTATTTGCAGAACATTAAAAACGTATATACTAAGAATCTTTAGTAAAACTAAGAACTACACTGTGTTTGTATTCTTTTAAATTTAATTGTGTACATGTAAGACGTCAGCGCTGGGTAAATTTAACGAAAAATTTGGCAAGGATTGCACTGTCAACAAATATTCACGCAATTGAGATAGCAGTCTGCCAAACATTTTGTACCCGAACGGACGACAAATTGTGCCAGTACTTTTTCTGTTCAAAATATTTTTAACGCTGTATATTTCCCAGTTATGAAAGTCCTGATATTTAAAAGAATCTATTATATTGTTTCGAATATTTTCCATCAAATTTTAAATGTAGAATATGTCAAGCGTTCCACGGTTCTATGTATTGCATTACACCAAATTTGAAGTCTGCAACTGAACTAATTAAAATACATTTGGCTGTCGGTTAAGGTTTAAGAGCAAACTTCAATGTTTGGTGAAAAAATCAGGTCGCTAGATTTAATATTAGCCAAAATAAATTATTTCTAATTCGTAAAATATTTGAAACGGTCCAAACCTGTAACGTCATACCACTCGACGAGCTTGTCTCTGCGTGGAGCTGCTAATCTCAAGGATAGTTGTACGTCAACCTCTATTATCAAAATTCATATTCATAAGAAGTGTTAGTAGTCCATCATTCTATTATTTCTGAATGAATTAATTGTATATGTTTGGTGTATTATGCAAGTTCTAGCATTAGGTTTGATAGTTTAAATTTGTTTTTTTTGCTTGCACAGCTACAGATGTCCTAAGATGTAAGTGGCACCCAGCCAAGTATGTGCGCTAGCTACTAAGGAGTGGTATGACGTCACACAATGGCTTCCGTGCGTTTTCCCGTGATTCGTTTTCATTAATTGTTTCGTTGAAGTCATGTGAATGTCTGCTTTTCTCCAAATCGGTCAACATCAACAATACTGTGCGAGTCGGACTATCAAGTACAGGTAGATTCCGTGTACACTGATTTTGGTAATGCTTTCAATTAATTGAACCACAATATACCCATCATTAAGTAAGTGAAAGTCGGTGTGTACCTATTCAAAAGATCACAATTTGTATTATTATAAGACTTCTCTTCTGTTCCTTACGTAACTACTTCTGGTGTGCCTCAAAACTCATGTACAGAGCCACAACTTTTTGTTATCTACCTCAACAATACATACCCATGTTTTCAACAAAGTAGTGTTTTAATGTTTGCGGATGATATAAGGATATTGTGTGAAATAAATAGTTTCGCCGATTGTTCTCTAGTTTAAACCGATGTTGATAGATTCTTTCAGTATTGTTCAATGAAAATTAAAGACTTAAGAGCCCCATATTCTTTAAATAGTGTTTTCCGCAAAGAGAAATAATTTCAAACATTTAATAACTGAATAATCTAAAGCTTATCAAATAATAGGAATGTTATGTCATGCCATCTGGGTATTTTCAAAGACGCCGCAGTAAAACGAATAAAAAGGTGCAAAAAACGATCAAATCATCAAGGTTTTAGGTACTGAAATCTACGAAAATACTAACTTTTCTATATATAACTCCACATGTAAATATTCTTATAACATTTACTTGCTTAGTCCTACATATAAAATTGTTTACTTTTATTTATAAGTACGTGAAAATAATTCTTAAAATGTGGGGTTAGGATAACAGAAAACGCATGTTTTACAAACGCTTTTTTTAGTTATTATTTTATTTGGGTAAATTTAAATGGTAACAATGAATAAACAAAACATCAAGGATTTTATTTTTGTGCTTACTTTTGTTCTACACGTTTTACTTTTCAAGATTTCAGTACCTAAAAATTGCCAGAAATTTCACCATTCCTCGGCCAGGGATATGGCCACTTTAAGAATTACGTTCGACAACAAATTATATTTAGTTGCCACATAAACTATTTTGTTAGGGAAAATAGTTAGGTTTAATTAGTCATCTGAGGCTTTAAAAATATTTTACTTTGCATACGTGCAGAGTAAATTAAGTTTCGCTTTTGTGGTTTGATTCCCTAAATATAACGTTTACATTTCTGAATTTATAAAATTTTAAAGTGACTTGGCGTATAATACAGATTTTATAGCAATTACTAGAAAAACAAAACTAATATATATATTTTTAAAAGATCGTCATTAACGAAGTGAGCTATATTCCTTTATAAATTTTTATGTTACCATGTGGACTCACCCTTTTGTTTAATATAAACTTTTATGTACCTCCTTGTTGTTTCAGAAATAAAAGCAATTCCCTGTTAAAGTTTTGACAAATTGCCTAGCAGTGCAGAGCAGCAATGCGGAATTTGGTGTAAATCAGGTAATTTTAATTTATTATAGGCACCTTTTATTAATCATTCGTATTACAATAATTGTGAAAGAGAAATATTTTGTTCACTAATATAATATTACTACCACATGGCATTTTTAGACCTTTTGAAAAGGAACAAAACAAAATTTACCATCAATATAATAAAATTGTTTGACATAAATAATTAAAATACCTATGTTGTTGGCCAAATGATACACATATGATGATGCATGTAATAGATATATGATACATATAATAGAAATTTACACATTGTTTACAAATTATATAATTTTTTACCTTTAGCAGAAAACTTTTTTAAGGACGCCTATGAAACTCATTAAATTCTTTTTGCTAGGCGTTTTTATACATGTCCAACTGACTTCGGAATGACTATACAAGTTAATACTGTATGTCGTCATTGCCCTATCACAAGAATATTTATTCTTGTGGCCCTGTTATAAGTTAAAAAGAAATTTTGTTGGAACGGGAAATTTGTTGAAACTTGGCAACGTTGGGTCTCTGTCGACTTGATCGCATCGCTGCGTGGGATGCGGGATGGTTGGGTTATTGCTGTGGCAGCCAAAAGACCACAATATTTGTATTTCTTTTCGATTATAATCGCAGTGATTGTTAACTGTAGTTTGAACTGAATTAGATTGATGTGACAGATATTTTTCATTTTCGGCTTAAAAAAGGTGCTATTTTATTAAATTAAATTACTATACAAATGAATATAATTTTAATTTGTGATTAGGATAAAACATAGATAAATTTCACTCAGTGGCGTAGTGAGGGGCTTAAAAGGTCAAGCCTATTAAAAAAATTATTCAACTAAATTTTAAGTAAACGTAAAACAATATATTCTTGATACTATATAAAAAAAGAAACAGAAAATTAAATAAATTAAAAATAATTTTATAAAATTTATTGTAAGTCGTTCTGTAACAGAATACATCAATATAAAATTTTGGAATCCTGTTTTTATTATACTATTATATACATAAAAAATTGTTGTGGTTTTTAAAAGATTGTATTAAATAACATTATTTTCAAAAACCAATAATTTGTAATTTATTAAATTATACAGGTATTCTTTTCGTATTCGAGATTATGCTAGAAATATTAATAAAAAGCGTATACAGATTGTTAGCAATTAACGTATTTGTAGTCTTATCTAAGCGACAGCAGCTGCGTTTCCCAAATCCTGAATATATTCAGGAAATCCTCTCACTAAATAAGGGTGATGAGGCACCAATTGAGCATCACACATCACCCCTAATTTCACATGGTCGGCGTATTCGTTTAAACAAAGGGATATGCCTAAAAAAATCAGTAAATATTATGTAATAATGTTTTGGTACAAAATGTAAACCGGGTATGTGCTATAAATTTACATAGGCAACCAGTTATACAAGAACGTGTAAAGTTAATAACATATATGTCAAGCTAAAATTTTGTAGCAACGTATTACTTACTTGTGTTGGCTTGGGGTGGTCTCCAGTAAATTACACTGTTTACCTCTTGCCCCCAGAGCGTCTTCTGCGTCACATTTGGATATCTACTCGTAACCTCTGTGACGGTAACCGCATATTTGGCCGAGAGATATTTCAGATAGATGCTGACGATGGTCGAAGGCAGCAACTTCGTCAGAATCCCGAATTTAGTTTGAAGCATCGTCAGCAGATGCGACAGCCCTTGCTTTCGAATAGCAGAGTTAAACTTGTTCTTAATTTCCAGTAAGTTCTCGAGTGCGGTGATTTCCTTTTCCGGGTCCGGAATAGCTAGATTCATGCAGAGTATTCCACTCATGGCATCTTCTGGTTTTATGTTTTGTCCGGTAGCAAAAACGTAGTTGGAAGAGATGTGTCTCATAGTTATTGGCAAATCCTCAGGAATGTAGTGGTTAGTTTGCACGAAGTATTTCGATATACACATTGACACGGCTGCCAACATGACTTCCGTTTCTGATACTCCTGTTTGTCTGGCAACATTTTTTATCGCTTCGACTTTAACCAAGTCTGACCAAGCCACCGATTTTCGACCACACAGTGTTATAGTTTGCACGGATTGCTTCTGCATGAGGATGTCTTGTACGATAGTTTTTGGTGCTGAGACAAGAATGCCGAAGATGTAGAAGACTTCTAAAAGAGACTTGTAGAAAAGCGGCACATATGTGTAGAGGACACCAACAAAGGTGTGGGGGTAAGGGCAGTACTTCAGGGTCAAGCAAGCGTACAATGCCAAGAATTCTGCGTAGATCGTGATTGGTATTCGGATGGGTAGGACGAAGAAAACGTACCAGATATTTCCGAAGAAAAAGTTGATCAGATTCCTTGGATCCAGTGACGCGAAGATGGACAAAATCAAATTCTTCAAAGTCACCTGTCTTTTGGTTGTTTCTTTGATCGTTGCTTTGAACACGTACTTGATTTTGGAGAAGGCGTCGTCTTTGATCACACGAAATCCTTTCCTGCAATCCTTCATCAAGGAAACGAGGGTAATCAAAGTAATTGCAAAGAACTGCGTAAGTGTGGGGGTGTTTTTCAGAAGTTCTGGTCGTTCTAAAGGGTCATAGTTGGAGACGAATTCGTTCCAGCGGTTGGACAGTTCTTCGGTGAGTTTTTCCTTTAGGATGGGTATGACCACTGGCTTTTTGAAGACCTCCACCAAGGGACTCTTGGAAATAGCGGATCTGAAAGAATTTTTTTATTTGTTTACATAAAATAGATAATATTCGTATTAACAAAACTTTATAAATGGAAAGAAGTCGACCAAGCGTAATAATGATGGGTATCTATATTATGAACAGATTGATCTACCCCAGTATTATCAGTATAATGTGGATGCATCTTTACAAACGAAAATTTGCTTAAAATCACTAAAGGGTATATATAGTGCTATTTTTTAAAAACCTGACATAGGCCAACTTTTTTATTTGAAGTGATGACTAGTACTTCTAAATGCAAAGTTGTAGGAAATAACTTGATAAAGAAAAATTTACAAATAATTCTCTCCGGTGTTACCAGATTTCTGCAGTAGCTACAAAAACGATATTTTTTAAATAGCAACAAGGTATTTTTTAACATAATTTGACAAAAGAAGCTAAAACAGCAATAGCAGGCCTTCGATATTAAACAAAAATTGTGTTATTTGAAAGCTGTCGTATTTTACAAAATAAAATATCACTTTTAACACTTGTATAATAAATCACTATTTTAAAATCTTATTGGGAACCTCTGGAATGGTCCCCTACATAAAAAGAAGAGAATAATTGTGGTCATAAACGACGCGCCTTCCGCTTTTTTCTGTTTTTTTGCTGTTTTGTACTAAACAAAAAAATTGCTGGATAATTTTTAAGTTCAATTCAGTTCTGTTGTGGTTTTCTTTACGAAAATGTATATCTTTTATTGTTTAATTGTAAGTTTCGAGCAAAACTATTAATAAACAAATGTTTAGGTGAAGTTATTTTTTTTAATTCTTATTTTTGACTGTTTTGTTTTTGTAAAAAGAATTGTCTGGAGTATGTGTTAATAAGTTCAAATAAACAAACTAAAATATATGGAGCTGCTACAACGATTTGGGTAAATACTTGTAAACAGAACCAGCTGAGCTATAAATGTAGTCAGCCGTTCCAAAAATGTTTCTTCACATTGTTGTGGTGAGTAGGTATTAAAAAAATATATGTTTCTGTTTGAATTGGTCGGAAAACGTGTGGATTTTCTTGGTCTAACAATAGAAATTTGCTTTGTAAGCACAGCTTGTCTATTCGTAAACTGCAAATTCACAGTTCATTTTCGTATAAAATTCTCCTCGTTTTGTGATAATCCCAACCGGCATATAATTTTTCAATTGGGCAGCGAGGAATTTTCTTCCAGTAGTTGTAAAACTTTTTTAAGAACTGCAATATGTTGTTGGACTGTAGAGCACAATATTCTTAGAAAAGTTGACATTGTTACACTTTTGCATCGCAATCCTATCTAAAGCATTCTTATTTGCTAGCCGAGTTATTACAACTACAAAATAAATTGGTAAGCGGTTCTATGACCATTCTCGCACTGTATAAACACGCTAAACTGAATTAAAGATGATATAATGAATAAGAAATGGATATATTTGTTTATGACATTACCCTATAGCCTGCCTTGTTGGTGGAATTAGGGGTAAAAGGTCGCCAATATTGAGGCCCTCACTAAGCAGTAAGTGATGCAATTTGAGCAGAATGTAGTGATTGTCTTCGGAAGATGGTATAATGATGACCTGCCATGGCGGGATACCAGCGGGTAGGTACTTCGAGACTATGTCGGAAACATACTCCTAAAAGCAAATAAACATAACTCCATCATCAATTTGCTGAAAGAAAATGTATGGTGATTTTTACTGCTACTGTAGTGTATGGATATCTTATTTTGAAAAAACCTTTGTTGTACTAATTTTGTGACGGCTGTTATTTTATTGCAATTATTTTTTTCTTGTTCGCAACATACGGAAATGAGATAAACAAATCAGATTACACATTATTTAACAGCACTTACCTGTATGTTAAATTCAGTGACGGCTCGTCCCTTGAAAGTGAAGGGGGCAACGGTTAGATTTTGGTCTAAATCGAACTTCCCACGTTGCCAAGCGTATGTCCCACACCTTGTAACAAGACAGTGTCTGAGCCTCGGAAAAGCTACGTTGCCAGATTTGTCCCTACGCCTAACCACTTCCTACAAACAAAATATATGAAAATTACTATTCTATATAGAGGAGAAACTCGACGAAACGATTCAAATTTAGTATACCTGTAGGTGTCTTCTTACTGCTTCAGGCTGCGCTTGACCCTTTACCGTCAGAAGGACAGATATTATCCCTTGATTTCTGTGGGTATCTAGCATAGTTCTGACTGTGATGTATTTCACAAATTCCACTTCTGGGTGGAGTATGGAAATACAACTCAACCATAGTGCGTATGTTATCTTGAGAACTGAAAAATTTACCAATAGATCAACTTTATTGGAAAAAAGATTACTACGAAATCAAAAAGACATTACAATTGTTCATGTTACTTTCTTTCTTTTTTACTGCCCACAAAAATCTAGACGACGTATAAGAAAATTAGTCCTTTTTTGTTGTAGGCAATTAAATTACCTATAATTTAAGGTATATAAAGTCATATTTCACCAATTTGTTAACTGTGAATGCGGAAAAATCAGTTTTCGAAAATTGCGCATTATTATTGCAAACAGCGATGGATGTTGATGAAATTTATGGAAAACACGGTCAATCCAAAGACCAAATTGTTACTCCAGGTATTTGTTAATTCATTTAGTTCGTTTTTTTGCAACTAATTGTTTAATTACTAAACGTTAATTTTAGTTAATAACATAGATATAGGTTCTATCTGATCCAAAGCCCTTTACAACTAACAAAATAGGACATGCAAATCAGCGTTATAAACAAATTGTCCCAGGGTCAGGCAGAAGCCGCTCGGGAATTTGCTCTTTTTGCATTAAATATAGCTTATTTTTACGGTAATTAAAAGAAAGAGAAATCACCTACGTCTCTGTGTTCCCAACATAACTTTTCTTCTCCGTCATAGAGTGCAATAAAATGTCTAGTAATAATCTTTTCAAGTTTTTTGTGAATAATTGTTCTTTGAGTGACAAGATTTCCTGATTTGAAATAATGTTCGGGAAAAACGTCCTGATATGTCCTAATTTCCAAATTGATTAACAAGTTGCTTATAATAATCCACCCGTAAATTAAAAAAAATATGTAACAAGAGTGTGTTGTTATTCTTTTATTTGCGTGATTACCATAATTTTATTGCTGTTTATTGGCTTATCAGATGACTTTCCTTGCAACTCTGCCACTATCTCCTGGTAAGAATGCATAAATATGTCATTAATCATATCCACGAATATAATATGTTAGGTAATTCTACCAGAGGTTATATTAATAACAAAATTAATGTTTATTTTATATTCAGGCATCTAAGTCCTTGAACACAAAATCCCTAATGAATGTAGAGTCCAAAGTAAGCAATTTACTAGATACAGGGTGTTGACGTTTAATGAAGATTACGTTTATTTAAATGTTCCTCTAGTTGTTTGTTGCAGATAGATATAACAGATAGATATAACTTAGTTTAATAATAATTTGTCTATTTGAATTTCGACACCACTAAGTGTTTGAAAAATTTGATAAGTGTATTTAGTTGATAAAGACGTTCTGCTCATTATTTTGTAGCAATTTTTCTTTTACATTCAAAATAAACCTATCAGACAATTAAAAAAAAACTATTCCTTGAAAAAATACAACAATATATCGTTCAGATACAGTTTTAAATATATTATAACCATCGAAAGTCGAAAAAAATAACTGTCATAGAAATTTCGAAGTATTAAAAATTCCAGAAAGTGAAGTATTTATATGTCACTAACTTTTTAAACAGTTCATTATTATTCAAATTGTATTTTGAACAAAAGATTCTGATAGAGACATTTTTAATTTATTTAACACTGATACCCGGATTTTACATTAAAAAAAGAAGTTAATAACTCAAAAATAACCTTTTTTTTAAATTCAAATGGCTACAGTAGGAAGCAACCTGCTATATTGCAGGTACTTGTTGCACGATTGCCACCCACAGAGGGCGAAGACAATGTTTTAATTTGTCAGTGTTGCGAGAAACAATTACTCCGAGGGCTATATCCCCCTACCGGCATTGAATTAAACCCGCAACACCTAGTGCAACATTTGAAGTCAGCCCGACAGATGGAGGCATTTGCGCTCCCGCGTACAATCGAAAATAACCTATTTTTCAAATAAAGTGGAGGACATTTTTTTTTTACTTAAATATGACATCAGAAATTCTCTGTGGCATCAATATTGTTTTTTTTTTTATTACAATTTCTCCTAATATCTCCAATAATAGGAGTATTTATTCGCTGAACTCACAATAAGTGAACTTTTGCCTATAATTAATTAAGTAATTCATGAAACCAGGACTCATTAATCTATATTAAACTCATTTAGAGATATTTAAACCTCAAACCTATATAATATAAACCTCAACTTTATATTGGTGAAAGATGTAGATCTTCTCGATTTAAAGTTTTAATGTTTTAATGTGTACTAGTGATATAATGCCGGCCTATTTCAAATTCTAAAAGGAAAATTTGTTGCTGCATTTGCTTATTGCACAAAATCAGGAGTCTGAGGACAAAACTTAGCACCATACTGGCTTTAAGAATGAAAAAGACAATTGAATCAAGGTCAGGCAGATATAGCGGCTGGGAAATTTTACCATATATGTATATTGTAGGTTATGTTCACGTTATGCCATTCTACAATACGTGACGTAGTTATGTCATTGTGTAATACATATCCGTTATACTTCGGATGTGAACGAACATCGTAAATTTCTATGAAAAGTTTCCACTTACCGATAAAACTGACTAGGAGTAGCGGTGCCGATAAAATTGTGAAATTGAACAACGTCAGCGTTAATATGAAGTCCCACATGTCTGAATGCACTTATCTAGAAACAATAAACGTCCGGACAGATGCACATTTTTTCCGACGACGCCTCGTCAAACTGCAAGCCTAAATGCGTACGGATCACTTATAAATAAATATCATTATTAGTGACTTCATAATAAGGCTTATCAGTTTTGTACTGACCTTTTGATCTTCAAGGATATGTCGTTACATTACGTTACCCGATTTTTATCTGTCTCAGCAACGAATTGATGTTAAACCTATTATCTGCTTAGTATAAATATTAATTGTTCCACCCTCGACCTTATATGATGAGGAAAGATATCATATTTTTTTTTCTTTTCTTTATTTGTCTTGGTAGCAATGTCATAGTCATCTCTGTTTATAAACATTTTCATTCGAACGAAATGATAAATGGTATTGTGTAAAAAATTTAGTATATTAAATTAATACTAGTCGCAGAAATAAGGATAAAAAAATTCTAAATTTTTAGGTGATTTTCTAAAGGCTGTACTTGACCAAAAATGGTCGTAGGGCAATAAAACAAGCATATTGAAGCTGGAACTTTCTAGTTTCAGGATATGAAAGTAAACAAATTGTAAGAAATCCAGCGGAAATTTTTTTTTTCAAAATTTTCGCTTCCTTTTCAAAAAGTCCACATTTTATAATAAATTTTTGTGGCGTTTATTTAGTATTTATATACGAATTCAATTCAGTCGATTTTTATTTTTAAATTAGGTATACAGGGACACAAAATAAATGTCCAGACCTAAGAGACCCACATGGCACATATCATTTCCGAAGGATTTCGATGCGCTGAACATGATCCTGTAATCAAAATTCATGACTTTCCGATGAATTTTAGAGAAAAGTTAAATTTTTGGGAGAAAACTGGCCAAATATGGATCAAAATTGATTTTTTCCTAAATTTTGTCCAAATATACCATTTTCCTGGTATTTTGAGGCGATTAACAGGATGCCAAAATTTACCCGTGACCTCAATATTTCTCAGAAAGTTCATATTTGGGCCCAGCATCTCAAAATACTATGAATTGACATATTTGGACAAAATTTATGAAAAAATCAGTTTTGACCCACATTTGGGCCAGTTCCATTGACCGTAGCAAAATATCTGCATTAAATAGGCGCCAAGTGAGTTGCCTTCTTACCACAAGAAAAACTGCTTTGCTGGAAGGAACTCACTTGCAGTAAGTAGACAATTTTGCTATAATCTCTTTGCTACCTCAAGCAAGTCAACTCATTAACCCCAAGCAACTCAACTCATTAACTCTAAACGAGTCAACTCATTAACCCCAAGCGAGTCCTCATTAATCCCAAGTGAATCAACTCATTAACACCAAGCAAATAAACTCATTAATTTTAATAGAGTCAACTCATTAACTCCAAGTGAGTCAACTCCGTATTTACTATATTTCGGTGTTGCTGGCTCTCCTCACTCTTCGTGCACCATGCAATACAACTAAAAATGTTGTACATACTTTCAAACAAGCATAAATAATCTTGAAATCCCCATTCGAGAAGTAAGAGTTTGTATTTGTAATATAAGTACTATTGGATTGTTGATATCTCATTTAGATTTCGAGATATTGTTATTTGAGTACAGCATGTTTGAGTGTTAGTGACGACTTTTGAAAAGTGAAATTTTCTGAAACAATGATGGAAACGTTTCAACTTTTGAAACAAGCTTACAGAGATTAGGCTCTGGGTCGTATCCAATCTTATGAATGGTTGTCACGATTTAAAAGTGGTCATCAGTAAATTGAAGATGATCCTCGACCAGGAAGATCTGCGACTTCAATGCACGTTCAAAAAGTCAAGGAAGAAAATCGTGTGGACGTTTATCGACAACTCCTTGAACAATTCAAAGGATCATAACGGAAGACAACAGCTTAGTTTACGGTTACGACATTGAGACAAAAGTTCAGTTATCACATGGATTGGCAAAGAATCACCACGCTCGCGCCCGCGCCCGAAGAAAGCATGTCAGTCTCGATCCTATGTCAAAGTGATGTTCACTGTTTTTTTCGACTTTAATGGAATTGTGTAACGGTTATGTGAAAAAATCCGCAAAAAGAGACCAGAGTTGCGGCGAGACAACTCAAGATTCTTGCACCATGACAATGCGTCCGCACACGATTTGTCAATTCGCCAGTTTTGTGCAAAAAATCAGATTACTGTCCTTCCTCACCTTCCTTACTCGCCAGACCTGGCTCCTTGCGATTTTTTCTTATTTCCGGAATTAAAATGCAGTGCTGAAGTGACGCCGTTTTCAGACTATTGATGACATTATTTCCTGAACATACCTCATAACCATGACATGATAACTTAGTATTCGTGAGAAATAATTCTTTCATAGATTAATTCTTACGGGTGCGACATCTAATTCAAATCAACAGAACTAAAGTTCAAACTCACAGCAAGATAAGAATGAATAATTTTATTGCAATATAACGTATTTAATAAAGAAAATTTTGACAGGACATAAATAAGAGTTTGATCAGTATACACAGAAGTTAAGTTAAAAAAACTCGTTGAATTTATTTATTTTATTTTTACCTTATTATCTTTGTTTATCTTTTATTCAATGTTTTGTAAAATCTTAGTAATTTTTCACTATTTTAAAAATATATTAGAATGAAAAAGGTCTGTTTTATATTGTTTCTAATAGGAAATAGGCAACCAGGAATACTCTTAAGGGGAGGATCTCATCAAGCGACCGAAAAATAAGGTGAATTTCATGATTTTTTTTTCCATAGACCAAAGTAAATAAACAGCTCAAGTTGTTTTACACTTATTTATAAAGTCATAAGGAACACAAAAACTTTTTTTAGTAATAAATACTCATATAAATTGTTTATGCATAATATTTTCTGGAGCCTGGACCTATAATTTTAATAAAAAATAAAAAATTTAAAAAAAAATGGTGGACATTTAAATTGTCTGAAGCGTTTTTCACATTTCTTTCGCTCTTAAAAGTACTATAAAAAACAACAACAAATATCACTTGCATTTAGGTTCAGGCTCAATAAATTTAACCTACTTTATTTAAAATAATATAAAAAAGCTATCTATCTACACTGTAAAAAAAATTCCAATCAAATTTCACTCAATAATATATCAATTTCTGTCCACACCTGATGTGAAATTTTCACTATATTAGTAAGAGTACAACTGAGTGAAACTATTGCATCAGAAATGAGTGAGTTTTACTCAAATCCGAGTTACTGCTAACTATCAATTGAGCGACTTTTGACTTTAAAATATAAAATCAATTTAGAGTTGAATTTTTCTCTAATATGATTTAAATTTAACTATTATTGAGTAATTTTTAACTCAGACTTAGTTCTTAATTAACTAAATATTGAGAGCAAAAATAAATCACTCATAAATAATTAATTAGGATATACAGTGTTGAAATTAATTTGAGTACAAGTGCACCAAATAAGAATTTACGTAAAAGAATGAAATAAGGAGTACCTATGTTTGAGTGAAAGTACTCAATTTTTAAATATAATCACAAATGATCAAAATGCCCAATATTGACTGAAAATGTACTCAATAATTTCACTCAATGAATTCACTCCGAACCTTTATTGCTTTCACTCACACCGATTTTTTTTTTACAGTGTAGTAGTTTTTGAGATATTCTGGAGACCGATTTAACATGATTTTGCAGGAAACGCGTTTAAAAATTTTATTAATGATTGAGGCAAAATAATGTACGCTTCGGCTAATCGGTGATACCATCAGTTCTTCCTCATCTTCATAGTGTTCCTTTTGTACTGTTCCTCATCTTCATACTGTTCCTTTTTTCAAGGATGCAGCTGCTTTTGCGCCGCGACGTCTGTCATACTAGATGAGAACCTCCGATTAAAGAACTCATGGGATATCGAAGTATTCCTACACGTGGGATAAATTTGGATAAGCTCATTATGAATTGTTTTCGAAAATTATTATATTAATAAAAATATATTTATAAAATAATACTTTGATGATGGACTATAGTAATGATAAAGTATGTTTAACTGGTATAATAACAACATTTCAAAAACAAGTTTTCCTCATTCCTTACATAACCAGAAGCTAGTATAGCTCTTTGTCATTTTAGCGATGCACCCCTAAGTTGGTGGCGATATCGATCCTACCCGACGTCTTGCAGCATCCACTAGGGGCAGCACAATCTCACCACAGGTGATACGAGATGGAGGGTGAACCGATAATTATTCGTGCCCTAAGATGATCTGCCTGAAGAAGTCTGGACATGTTATTGAAAACTGCTGTGAAATCTAGTTAAGATGCAGAAATCCAGAGGGATATTAACTACACTCACTGGAAAAAATCCTAAGAATTCAAGAGTAAAAGGGTCACATTTTACCAGAGAAGGTTATATGTAAGTATTCCTGTATTAAATTTCTTTGTCCAAATCGTTTTTGAAAAAAAAACTGATAAAGTTCTAAATAAGGATAAATTATTTACCTCATTTAAATAGTATTGCTATTATATTATTTTTTAATCAAAATGACACCGTAAGACGTTTGTATTTCGGTTTCAAATGATAAAGTTTTAATTCGTTTGAATAAGCAAAACAACGTAGTACATATCCAATTTTTTTTTAATTTATTTAGAGCTTTAAAGAACTTATATTATAAATTTTTGTAATAATATAAGTAAAGCATATGTAAATCGACATAACATATATTTTGTAAAGAAAATATTTCGTGATATTGTTAAATTTATAATGTAATAGTGCATGATTTCAATGGTACAGTATGTTTCTGTAATATTAGCTAATATTAGCTAATTTCTGTTTGTTTGTTGAATGCTGAAAGATTCGTGTCAAGTTATTCTGTGAACTTACTACAGATTCTAAAAGATGAAGTAAGTAATAATAGAATAAATATCATATGTATCCAGCTTATGTAAACAGACAAAAGCAAACATACTTAAACTGTCAAAGCAACTAAAACGAAAAATCAAAAAAAGTTCAGAAGACAAAAACACACAGTTTTTCGAAACGTCAACAACTTTTTAATGTAATGTGATTTTTGTACTATACAGGGTGTCACCTAACGAATGTTACATACTTGAAGGGTATAATCTATAACCCAAATGGTGCCGATCTAACCAAACTTGCTTAAATGAAAAGTGTCACAAAAAAATGTTACAGTGTTAAAGTTTCTTTTTTATTTCTTGTTTTCTCCTTAACTCAGAACGCAGTTAACCGATTTGAGCAACATTTGCTGTTGCTTACTATTGAAATAAATGAAATAGGCCCCTGAGTTTGGAAACCGATATTAAGAAAACGTAGGGACAAAAATATTTGAAGTTTGGACCGTATATAGCCTCACTATTACTCTATTGTGTGCTAAGATTTCAGTTAGCTTCGTTATCCCAATTTTTAGTTATTAATGAAAATGTTGAAAAAATCACGGTTTTCTGCCTACAAAATTGATACCTCTCACTTTAACTCGTCGTAATTTTTTTGTTAATTGATAAAAAAGTTCAAAATTTTTACCGGCGGTAAGTCAAATCACAGACAAAATAGCTATCGCCATAAGCTATATTGTCTGTGGTCGAATGATTGTCTTTAGTACTGTGAAGGTCATTTGTCTCAAAAGCTTTTATTTTTTTAATTTTTATGCGAAATAGAAGAGAGTGCTATCTCCGTAAATATTGCTTTCTTTAAAAAAAGAAGAATGAATGCAATATTTACGGAGATAGCACTCCCTTCTGTTTTGCTTAAGAATAAAAAAAGGAGAGCTTTTGAGACAAATGAACTTCACAGTACTAAAAACAATAGTTCGACTTATCGTCAGTAAAAATTTGGATTTTTTTTATCAATTAACAAAAAAATTACGACGAGCTAAAGTGAGAGGTATCAATTTTGTAGGCAGAAAACCGTGATTTTTTCAACATTTTCATTAATAACTAAAAAATGGGATAACTAAACTAACTGAAATTTTAGCACACAATGGAGTAATAGTGAGGCTATATATGGTCCAAATTTCAAATTTTTTAGCACCTACGTTTTCTTAATATCGGTTTCCATACTCAGGGGTCTATTTCATTTATTTAGATAGTAGTTTGTCTTGATGAAGTATGCAGTGATTATGTTCCTACTGTGTTAAATCATACAGGGCGTTCATTTTACTACAACCCTTTGTGAATATTCTTCTGTAACTTTTTTATTTTAAATTTTTACACGCAACGATCAGAAATAGGTAGAGAATTTTAATCTACACAAAAAATGTATACTTACCTATCAAAAGTCGAAATTATGCTCGTTTATGAAGATATTACAGAAAATATTTATTAACACGTAGGTACCCCACATTTTTTTCACGATATCTTTGATTATAGACAAAAATTGTTTTGAAATCAGTTGTAGATTGTTTACTATGGTACGCTGATGTCATTTACAGCATTTCGACTCCCAGGGGTTGCATCCCTTATTTTTATAAGGATAAAAATATTTTTTCTTAAAATTTTACTCTAAAAAATATAAAAATGGCGGTTAGAAATTTTAAAAATATTTATTTATACAGGGTGTCCCAAAATTAGGGGGGGGGGGAATATTTCTACAGGGTGTTCTATGTCGAAAAATATTACTTTTTCTTTATATAAACGTGGGTCCAAAAATCCTTTATATGGAAGTTATAGTCACTTGAAGGGGCTATTCTGGTGATGTCTTTTTCTAAATAACTCCGAAACAAGTTGAGATAAATTTGTGAATTTTGGTAACTAACTTAACTATTACGTGCTCAGTCCGCTACTAAAACGAAATTAAAAAATTTTCGTCATATACGTTCCAACACTGCGGGGAAGGGAAGTAAAATTTACTTCTACTAAATCTAAATCTTTACTACTAAACTTTTTTATGCTTCGACTTTTTTTACTTTTCACTGAAAAGTATGAAATTTTAGAGTTTTTTAGTAAAAAAGGTACTCTTGGTTCACATTGGTAGAACACATTTTTTATGTAAAATCCGTACAAAAATAATATTGCATTTGTTAATCACCGGGAATCGAAATTGCCAATATTTACTATCGTAGCAGGTTGTGAAGAACAAAAAAGCATTTGGCGTCATTTGCATTGACAGTTCAGTTATTTACATTTTGCGAATTATTATTTTCACATAAATTATTATTTGACAAAGTAAAAAAAACAATTGAACTTATTAAATAGTAGTACAATAAATTAAAAAAAATAATTGAAAACTACACTATGTCAATAGCAACTTTAATAGCAAATGCTCCTCAAAAAGATATCCATTTTGCTGAATACATTTTTTAGCTAGACGAATTGTCCGCGAAGACCTCAAAACTTCAAAATTATTTTGTCTGATTTGATTCGCAGCCAAATGAATCCTCTGTTGTAATTATTCCAATTGTGCCTGTCAGGAAAATGATCGTTTAACCAATTTATGACATTATTGGTAAAGTGAGGTGGTGCCCCATCTTGTTTATAGTGTAATGTTAAGCGTACTTTTAACGGTGTATCATCCAATAGTTCTCTTATATCATTTTGCAGAAAGTTTAGTATCCTTCTGCATTCAGACAAACGGGAAACTGAATTGATCCAAGTAGCCGGTCTCCTAAAATTCCTCTCCACACATTTATTGCAGATCTGTTTTGAAAATTTGAGCGTCGTCTTGTTCGTGGATTTTCATCTGACCAGAAATGGGTATTATGAATATTTCCTAGCTATATACATTCGTAAAATGTTGCATTTTCGACTGAACAATTCGCAAAAAGTAAATAACTGAACTGATTTTTATGAAAGCCCTTAGAGTTTCTCGTTTCGGAATTTATAAAAAAAATTATCCGTCATAAGCTGCTCTGGTTCTAAAATTAAGAAGACAAATTCTGAAGGAGGAGTCGATGTGAAATATTTTTGTAAATATTTTTAATATTTTCTACGCAGTTTGTAAAATGGTTTGTTAATATTGTGCCTGAACAATTCTCCCCCCTCCAGTTTGCCGTACTTGCTGCGATAGACATGATCCATTCATTTTGTAAGCTCTATCGTGCGATATAGTAGCTGATATTTCTTTAGTCATTAGGTTTTTTTAAACACAGTCGTTATCTTCATATTTTGTTATACCTATTCATTTTTGTCTTTATTTTTTCTATTGGGTGCAGCGAACATAAATATATTTTTTATAAAAAGTGAACAAAATTGAGGTGCTTCCATTTTGACTTAATTTTTATTAAAAATATTTGGGTAAGTGCTTTTTCCTTTAATGATAGCAAAGAAAACTTCCTGAAAAATGTAAATCATTAGGAACGTTTTATTCAGTTTTCAATTTTGGTCTTAATCCAACTTTGTACTTTGAACAACTTAGTCTTTCATGAATTTGTAGTGTCATTGTAGCTCCACTTTCTCAAAATGTAAGCCTATAACCTATAAATGTTCCTAAAACTCCTTTTGAAAATAGTCCTTTTTAGACTGTATTATTAGCAATTCCATAAAATTTTCACACATTTTTAAACGGTAGTATGTACTTTGAACTTGATATAACCTCAGCCTCCTTTACATGACTTTTGACATAAACGAACATAATGTAGAAGCATGTGTACACAAAACATTTAAGCTGTTTCAAATTAATAGTTATTTAGGGTACTAGTGTGTTACGGTACATATAAATCTTTTCCAAGTGACTTATATGTCGTAACACACGAGTGCCATACAAAATTTTATTCAACACAATAAATAAAAGTAACTTAAAATTTCAAGTTGTCAATGTCAGAAAAAGTAATTTAACGAAATGAATGTACATATTTTTAAATATTACAAAGGATGCGAGTGTCAACCTAAATTGTGTCTGTAACCAATGCAATGGTTTCATAACTCACTTGTGACTTATGACTTATAACTCACTAGTGAGTTATAGGCCACATTATTCCTTTAAAACCAAAGAAATTACAGTATCATTATATACAAGTGTTGGATAAAAATAGTTAAACTCCAATTTCAGTCTTTATTATCAGTATAAAAGTTGTTTGAGTTATCAGTATGTGTAGGAAATAGATCATTACGAATGCATTCAAACATGAGCGAATAAACGGGTTCCAAACTTTACTCTCGGTGTAAACCGATGTGAAAACAGCAGCCCAAATGCCAGGAAATACCCGAACGGCCATAGACGTACGTTATAAGACGGTGAGATGTTCATTTTCACGCTTATAAACTTATCTAATCGATTTACATATGATATTTATTACACTTTTTACAATGATTTTCATTCGGTAAGACTGTTTACCTAAACATAGACTACACAGCCACACAAAAAAGTTGCCTGTACTTTTCATACGACATATGTTATCCGTAGTATTTTTAAATCCTGATCACGAATCTGTTGTCAGAATTCAGCTATCACATCACAGGAATTTCTTAACTTCAAGGAACATAAAAAATAAATAAATGAACATTTAAGACGATTTTAAATGTTCTATGGAGATAATAGTATAATTTGATCGGAATATGGTGGAAATACATCGAAATCACCCGGAATATAACGGAATAACACTGATTGCGATAGAATAATGAAATATCCTGAAATAAAGTGGAATGCTATTGGAATACGTAGAAATAAGTTGAAATACAAATGAAATATTATGAAATACTTTGATTCTGGTGTATACGAAATTCATTCATTAAAAACACACAAATTACACAGCTCCACAATAAAGTATTGTGTAAATGACCAGAATACATTATTCCCGTGTATTTTGAGTCGCTAAATCCGAATTCGATGTCAGAATTATCCCAGCAAATCGCCAGAACTTTCTATCCTGAAAAATAGCTTAAAACCGCTAACATTCTCGAATTTTAGAATGATAAGGCTACAAATAATACAAAAATATTTAATTCCCATGAATTCAGTGCTTCGTCGTTATATGTTTTTTCTCGTTAAAACATTTACAAACTTGCAAGTCCTTAAAATACTATCCGAAAAGGTTCTACGTCTAGGTAAACAATCCCACTGAATGAAAATCGTTGTAAACAGTCATTCTTATTATAACGTACGCCTATGGTTGTTCGAGTATTTCCGTGCATTTGCGCTGCTATCTTCACTTCTGTTTTCACACTGGTTCAGAATTGTATTACAATGGGAGCAGCAATAATAGTAATAACCGGACAGAGTTGTTATATCAATTTTCTGACCATACCTATTTTATTAATAAATATTATTAAATTTTGTACCACTGTAATGCAATAATATATACAGAATTTCCTTAATGACGACTAAATTTCCTATAACTTTCGCAGATACCATTTTATTCCAAGTACGAAAATAAAAAAGATAAGAGGAGTAGAATATTGTGCGAATGCACATTGGAAGAGCAGTTTATTATTATTCAAAAAGTACTACAATACTTTTTAAAGAAAAGTATCAACCACGGAATAAGATACAAAACAGAAAATTCAATTTGTATTAGCTTTTGATGTTTGTTGTGTCATCTACTTTAAACTGTTCGAATTCTGCATAGGATTGGAGTTACCCGCATGATTCTTTATTCAGGGATGTATTCAGATAATTGAAGTAAATTCATCCTAATAGATCAAAATTTAACCAGTAGATAATTTTATCTAATTTATATCTACTTTAATTTGTAATGACATTTGAGTTGTTAAAGAAAGTGTGGACAGAAATCTATAATATTTATTGAATGTTAATTATATACAGGGTGTCCCAGAATAACGTGTACAACGGAGAACCATAGATTCGTGGACTCAAAATAGGCTAATTCACCTATATCCGAAATCGCTTCGTTTTGCCTCTAGATGGCCTCAAAGTTCGTGAAAATTTTTTGAATTTTGTAAATAACTTGAATACGTATCAATTGATTTTGATTATTTTTGGAGTGTGGACTATTTTGAATCTACACATTTTGGTGTTATACAGAGTATGTTTTAAAACCTGCAAATCCTACAAAATTGATGTATGGTGATAATATCCGTCCATAACTTTTTCTTCTTTCGGGCAATAATGACATCAATTTCTTATCTGATAGGTGATACCATTTGGAAGTTTTTGGGCCTCTTGTAGAATTTTGATTAAATGAACGTTTATTACAAAAAAATATTTTTTTTAATTATCTACATTATCGTGCCACCTATATTATAATAGTTAGCAATGTGTTAGTAGGCACTGATTTTGTAGGTTGACTGTAATTTCAGTCTTATCTTTAACTCATTGTACCTGACAATTCTTAGTGAGTGTTTACGACGATGAGATATACCACCTGTTACTTCATTTTTCGATATGGATACACACACATACGACGAATTAGAATTATTTACAACGTGCCTAAGTTTATTCAAAAAATTAGAAAAAACAATCAAATAAAATGCATTGATAGCATTATTATTGATAGTCCAGTTGGTAGAGGTTCGGCGTGTGTCAAACCTTGATAACTCGGAAATAACTACACAGGTCTACTTTAAATGATGAGTACAATAAATAGGCTAATTTGCTGACAAAGTATTTTATCAGGAAAAAAAGTTATTAACAATTTAATCGTGAAAAAAAAAATGTTTAGTAGTTTTCTTTAAATAACTCAGCGGGATGACTTTGTACGAAAAAATACTTAAGACATGATTTTATTCGTAATAAAAATAGCTACAAAATGGCGGTGGTCCGATTACGAAATTTGCAATAACAAAGCCGTGAGATTAAAAAAACGGTATAAAACGTCAATTTTTTTAAGTTGCCGTAAAAATGTCAATTATAAACAAAAAGTGATAAAACTTTCGAAAATTATAGTTCAATAAATATACAATAATGATGCTAATGCCGAAAATCAGGAGAGCAAAACTTTTTGTTCTATAAGGCGTTATACATTCATCGGCATCTGAAACTCGAAACTTTGCCAAATTTGTTCGAAGCTTTGCTGACACTTGAAATTTGGTACACACATAGTGTAAATATGCAGAAACCAAAAGCAATTTGCAAAATTCAAGTATCTTCATTTTTGCAGTTTTGGTAAGGTTTTATACGTCACCCTAGTTTTTTTTTTAATTTTTGGACGTATATTTAGGTATATTTATAAAATATTCCATTACGGTAGATTAGCCAGCACAATTACCTACAATTTAAAAACAAAAATATTTTCCTAAGCTATTTAACATTTTGCGCCTGTTAGCCATACTCGTACATTATTCAACATATAAACATAAAACAAAAACGTACGTGTGGGGTAAACCTTTAACTTTAAGTAAACAATTGTTTAAATTTACTGTTGCATATTTCTAATAGTATACAAGCGCCAAAGAGCGGAGCTCGCGCTCGAAAATGAAAAGTTAAGGGTTTACCCCACACGTACGATTTTGTTTTATGTTAATATGTTGAATAATGTACGACCACGGCTAACAGGCGCAAAATGTTAAGTAGCTTAGGATCTAAACGATGAAAATATATATTTTTTAAATTGTAGGTAATTATGTAGCTAATCTACCTTAATGGAATATTTTATAAATATACATAATATACGTCCAAAAATAAAAAAACGGTGACGTATAAAACTAGGGTGACGTATAAAACCTTACCAAAACTGCAAAAATGAAGNTCTTCCCCCTTCACTTTGGGTCCCGCACACTTAGGCGTCTAGATGACTCTCGGTGTTTACGTCCGAGATTGGGCATCAGTCATCACTTTCCGACAACATAATAATTGTTTACATTTTTTTTAAATTAAACAATTTTCAAAATCAAATTTCTAAAAATCTAAAGCCTTTGAATACATGAAAATTTCACCACAAAAAGAAGAGCTCTCATGCTTTAAAATGCTTTTTGAAAATTTCAAATCGGACGATTAGATGAGCCGTTGTGATTGTTTAAACATTTTCGCAATTTTCACGCTTTCAATTGCAATAATTTAATGTTTTTTTCAATTTTTTTTTTATTTTAAAATATGATTTGAAAGTACTACTGTTATTATTGCCATACATCAATTTTGTAGGAGTTGTAAGTTTTAAAAAACTCTGTATAACACCAAAATGTGTACATTGAAAGCAAAAGTCCCCGTCCCAAAAATAATCGAAATCGAATAATACGTGTTCGAGTTATTTACAAAATTCAAAACAAATTTACGAACTTTGGTGCGCGGCCAATTATAACAGCCCCATTTATTAGAGGTTCTTTTGTTGGAAATACGATTACAATTCGAATGCAATTATGAAAAGTAAAAGAACATTGGTACATGAATTTATTTTCTAAAAGATAGTACACCTCCAAAAAATTTAAAATTGTATTTCTGACAAAAAGTTCCTATAATGTAGAAGAATAGATTTGGAGTTATTGTCGTTATTTATTCAGTTATATTAAAGACCTGGTTGACATATTTGTATAGCAACAAATTAATACATATAATTTGTTAAGTCATTAGCCTAAGCTTTATCAATTGAATTATAATGACTTTTAATGAACTAAAGTCCCAAAGCCATTGGATTTGAGTTTAAAAAAATTATATTAGATTAATCAGTAACTTAAAGAGAAAAAAAATGAAAATAATTTGTTATTCGAACTGGAAGACACTTTATTTTTCTTAGGAATTCCAGTGCCAAATTGGCAATGCTTGAATTCCCAAAATATTTCTTCCCTTCACATACTTTGATATTAGTTGACGTATTTGTAAACCAATTCAGTGAAATTTTGATTTTAATTAAATACATTGTTAGTCAAAGTTTCATCAATATACGTCAAACCTCTTCGGTGATATTTTGATGTGAATAAATATGTTTTTCTAATTTGTAGTAATATGAAAACAATGTAAAGGTGCATCAGCAGGAGCGCTTCCCGAAAAATGTATATTATCGTCCACCGAAAAAAGGTCGCCGTGTTCCTCGCGTGTGCAGTTTTGGCAACCCTTCTTTTGGTCGACATTCACGTTCGGGAGATCGCCTCCAGAGTCTACCGTTACGTTTACCAAAAGACTGAAATCTACTGCTACAGGATCAAAACCAATTCACTACCGGACATATCCGACGTAACACCCAAGAAAGGAAAGTCGATTTTCTTCCACGAGACGTCCTGCAATTCATATCTCAATGGGAAGATAACAATAGGTAGGTTTAAACTTTCAGATAATCAGTGACAAATTTCATTAAATTTGCCCATCTGAAAATTTGCTGAGCCACCGTCCATTACCAGGAGATCAGTACAGGCGTTGTTCCTTCTAGAAAAAAAATAATTGTCCGATCTATATATTTTTTGTCCATCTTGATATTTTTTTAAGAAACAGACCACTCTAAAAATTGTTTTGAGTAGCACGATTCAGATGATTCTCTTTTTATAGACAGTGTTTTTTTAAAATGAACCTACTGAACCAATAACGATAATCTAATTGGCAATACATTTTTTAAATGCGATTGTTTTGAAAATCGGGATTATTTTTAATAAAAAATTTGACTTCGTCATGTTCATCAGCACAAGATCTAATATTTGCACGATTTCAGACATATTTAGGCCAGGAAATATAAAGTTGGACGCGACTTTTGTTTCGTCAAGCTAAATTTATCACTATAGATACTAAATATTATATACAATAACATATTAGTTTCCACAGTTATAAAAATGGGGGAAAGATTGATTACTGCTGGTTAATTGTATAATTTTTACGTAAATTCACGTTTTTCACTTATAACTTTTTTCCGTTCATTTCCACGAGAAAATGGTAAAGTACTTGTTTTTCGTCTTCAAAAGTCTACAAAACTAGCCCTCGAGCGTCAGAAAATATTCATGAAAGAGCTTTAAATTAAAAAAAAATCGTCAAGATTCGTTGAAAAACGACGGAGTTACAGACTGTCAAATATATTATCTTCAAGCGAATTTCGCTTTTTTAACGGCAGGACTATGAATATTATCGTCATTTTCTTCGGACTCGCTGTCGTTCGCTTCCTGCCCCCCTTCCGACCGCCACGGCTCGCCGAAAAATCAAGCGACCCACTAACTTTTGACAATATTTCTTATGCACTTAACATACTGTCACAAATAAAATATTTTTATCTGGGAAAGTACTCGGGTTGCCGGTTATGACGGTTTTTTTTTGCCACTACCAACCTAATTTGTTTAACAATAGGCCGTCAACTTTGACAGTCTGTAACTCCATTGTTTTTCAAGGAATCTTTTTTTTTTAACTTAAAGCTCTTTTCATAAGCTTTCCAAATATGTAATAATATATAACTATATCACGCGCGTGCGTCGTATATTTCATTTTGCATCTAAGGCTAAAAAATAAAAAAATTTCCAGGTTGCTTTGAAATTAAAAAAAAAAATGGTAGGAGTATTATGAAATCTACCATGAAAAAAATCAGTTCGATTGTGTAAGATGCTCGGGATCGTCCAGACTAATAATTAGTAAATTTGTTTATAAGACCATAACTTGTAAACTATTCAACTTACCGATTCCAGATTTCGTGTGAGTTATTCTGACAATATAATAACGCATTTTATAAATGTTTAATTCAAGTCATAAATAAATTTCTTCTGTTTATAACTTTTAATCTAATCAATATTCTTTGACGCTAGTTTTGTAGGTCTTTTGAAGACGAAAAAGAAAGTATTTTTCTGTTTTCTCGTGGAAATGAACGGAAAAAAGTTATAAGCGAAAAACGTGAATTTACGTAAAAATTATACAATTAACATTAATCAGCCTATAAACAATTTTCCCCCAATTTTTATGACTGTGGAAACTAATATGTTGTATAACTATAATATTTACCATCTATAGTGATAAATTCAGCTTGCCGAAACAAAAAGTCGCGAAATGGTTATTTCCTAGCTCTTTTTCCTGGCCTATATTTACCAATTTTAACCACCAGTGTCAGTAATTGACTAAATTTTTATCTTAGATTTTTAAACTGAAACAAAAATTTAAAATTTTAGATCTATATAAAGGAATATTCTGTGTTATGATATTAAGAAATTTGAAATGTAGAAGTTTTAAGTGTTGCTCACATACAAATTTTTACTTAAAAAGGCCCCTAAAGTGATTTTCTTAAAAATCGCTTTTGAAAAAATTGTAGCAGGCTATGGACTACCAACTGGATCGTCGTAATTGATTCAGCAAATACCTACCTACATCTAGAAGGTCATTGTACACGGTGTCCCAAATAGACTCGAACCCATGGATAGAATCTTCAATCAAAATCAGTAACAAAAGGTTCAGATAAAAGTGGTAGGATATTAAGAAACCAATATGTCGAAGACCTTATTTTTACAAAATTTGTAAATATAAAATTTTTGTAAAAATACCTGTAGTTGCACCCAATAACAATTTATTGTGTTCTTGGATTTAAGACTTTAGAATTTGTTATAGAAAAGACTTAAAAGAGTGCCACTCCATATTTTTCTGCTAAATATTTTCTAATTTCTTAAATTCTATTTAATTTTTGAATATCTACATACTGACTATCAGTATAATTATTAAAATTTATATTAAAATTCCATCAGTTAATTCAGTTTGTATCAATATCAATGTAATAAGTTTAAAAAGTATTTAATATCGCTAATAACAGTTGACACAGCGAAATTTAACAGGTCATTGTTATTGACAATGACACGTTAAATTAACGGAATCGGCAGAATTATGCCATATATAATAAATGTATGTCTAAATTTTAATTGCAAAATAAAGGAACACTTTCATTTTCCACGTTTTCTTATTTTAAGGCTAATAGCCCGGGAGGCAGCGACATTATTGATGTAATTATTCCTATAAAGCTGATTTTTTCTCATTTTGTTGTTTTGATATCGTAAGTAAACGGAACGGCAGTCTACCGCGCCAATGTGGGGGCAAACGTTAGTAACAATTTTTTAAACATGTAAATAAATAATACTTAAATGCCTTATACCTACAAGGCTGAAACTTTTTAGAGTGATCAATTATACCTAAAAATACAGTATAGTGATAGTCTACCGCGTCGGAAGGGGGGCCATCAAGGGTCTACCACCCACGCAAGGTGTTGAAAAATTAACTTTTTTGACTTATTTCTACAAGGCTGAATTTTTTTTCTCAAATACTTTAGTTTATAAGAGAACCAAAAAAAAAAGTCTACCGATCATCTAAGGGTGCAAAGCCTTGATAGACGCAATGGAATGCACGATCTCCCGAGCGCAGTCGCTGCGCCGATTCACTGTAAGCCGCTCTGAATAATAACTCATACCGGGATTAAATTACAATCTACAAAGCTGCTTTTTTGTCTATAGATATCTTACAATAATTATTGTCAAATAAACGTCTTATACCTTCGATACGAGGTGGCTAAAGCTTCGGTAGACGTGGCGAAAGTTTTTGCGCGGAAGTTGCTTAAAATTCCAAATTTATTATTAATTACAGTTTTTTGAGCTTACACCATTATTTAAACGTATGATATAGTAACAACGAGCGAGCGTTAGCGAGCGAGATTTTTGCTAGTATAATAGGTATTAACAAAAGTTCAAAAATTTTTTTTTTCAAATAACTGACCTTTTTCTTTTTTAACATTGAATAATTAAATTTATTTCACTTTTACTTATAATTTATAACAATAATACTTTTCGATAATAGCGCGCGAAATGCTTGATTTGCGATTCATCATCACATTCGTCAATTACACTCGTGCGAGAATTATTCTATCGCACTAGTATCGAACAATATTTTACGACACTTATTTATAAAATAAATGATAACAACGCAAATGTTTTTTATTACAACAATATAGTAATTATATAAAAAATAAATATATTTTTCTTATTCCTCATCGCTACTGACATTTGATTCCTCATCGCCTTCCATATCATCACTATCTTCATCCTCATCATCTTTCTGGTCACACACTCCATCATTTTCTTTAAGGTATTGACAACCGTCATTTGCAATTTCTGTATCTGCAAATAGCAATATATTATTAAATATTTATTATATTATGCTAACATAAATTCACCCCCTTTAGGGTCTGAAAGTCATTTTTTAATTGAGTTTTAGACCTCCTTAAAATGCAAATATGTGTACCTGAATCTTTATCGTTCTGTAGATCAAACGTCACATCGATCAGTGATGTTTTTGAAAGCTTACAAAACTACTAACGATAAAATCTTTCGTCAAAAGGTCAAGAGTTTCGATGCATCTGCTTTACCACCTTGTCAATCAGAGCTCCGAGAACACATACTCCGAACAGCATATATTGCACAAATTTGGAGTAATGCTCACTTAAAAGAGCCTACAACATTATCCCCACTCGACTGTGGCTGGAAAGTGGATGAGAATGCAAGATATGATTTTAATTGGTTTAGTGGCGACCAATTGCCTCAGTCAATCGATGATGTGACGTTTGATCTACAGAACGATAAAGATTCAGGTACACATATTTGCATTTTAAGGAAGTCTAAAACTCAATTAAAAAATGACTTTCAGACCCTAAAGGGGGTGAATTTATGTTAGCATAATATAATAAATATTTAATAATATATTGCTATTTGCAGATACAGAAATTGCAAATGACGGTTGTCAATACCTTAAAGAAAATGATGGAGTGTGTGACCAGAAAGATGATGAGGATGAAGATAGTGATGATATGGAAGGCGATGAGGAATCAAATGTCAGTAGCGATGAGGAATAAGAAAAATATATTTATTTTTTATATAATTACTATATTGTTGTAATAAAAAACATTTGCGTTGTTATCATTTATTTTATAAATAAGTGTCGTAAAATATTGTTCGATACTAGTGCGATAGAATAATTCTCGCACGAGTGTAATTGACGAATGTGATGATGAATCGCAAATCAAGCATTTCGCGCGCTATTATCGAAAAGTATTATTGTTATAAATTATAAGTAAAAGTGAAATAAATTTAATTATTCAATGTTAAAAAAGAAAAAGGTCAGTTATTTGAAAAAAAAAATTTTTTAACTTTTGTTAATACCTATTATACTAGCAAAAATCTCGCTCGCTAACGCTCGCTCGTTGTTACTATATCATACGTTTAAATAATGGTGTAAGCTCAAAAAATTATAATTAATAATAAATTTGGAATTTTAAGCAACTTCCGCGCAAAAACTTTCGCCACGTCTACCGAAGCTTTAGCCACCTCGTATCGAAGGTATAAGACGTTTATTTGACAATAATTATTGTAAGATATCTATAGACAAAAAAGCAGCTTTGTAGATTGTAATTTAATCCCGGTATGAGTTATTATTCAGAGCGGCTTACAGTGAATCGGCGCAGCGACTGCGCTCGGGAGATCGTGCATTCCATTGCGTCTATCAAGGCTTTGCACCCTTAGATGATCGGTAGACTGTTTTTTTTTGGTTCTCTTATAAACTAAAGTATTTGAGAAAAAAATTCAGCCTTGTAGAAATAAGTCAAAAAAGTTAATTTTTCAACACCTTGCGTGGGTGGTAGACCCTTGATGGCCCCCCTTCCGACGCGGTAGACTATCACTATACTGTATTTTTAGGTATAATTGATCACTCTAAAAAGTTTCAGCCTTGTAGGTATAAGGCATTTAAGTATTATTTATTTACATGTTTAAAAAATTGTTACTAACGTTTGCCCCCACATTGGCGCGGTAGACTGCCGTTCCGTTTACTTACGATATCAAAACAACAAAATGAGAAAAAATCAGCTTTGTAGGAATTGGTGCAAAATTTCTGTCGCTGCCTCCCGGACTATAAGGTTAGTTATTTTTTAACGAAATATACAAAAATGCATATCTTTAAAGCCTGGTTAAGGAATATGTGAAAAATTACCTAATATTTTTTATCCTCTTTGTCTACTAACTGATATGACTTAAGAATTTTCAAACCAATGTGTAGACTAGAAATTTGATATCACATCATCTGAAAAATTGTAGTAGTAGTCCGGTCAATCTAGACATTGAAAGATACATAAATTTACAACAAGCTGAAAGTGAGTAAAGTTGTTCAAAACGTAATTAAAAATAACATACTAAAATTCCTCATTGTTTCGGTACTCGAAAAAAAATTTACTCGAGGTCAAAGGTCAAAAAATGGGTTTTTCGCGATTTTCAGCTAAACGGTAAGTTTTATCATAAAATTACCTCAGACAAAAATTGTAGATCATAAAATTATCTATAAATAAATGTATCAATTTTTCCTAAGAGCCACCGTATCTAAGAGATATAATATAATATAATAAAGTTGTAAAAGTTGTAATCGTCATAATATGTACACGTTTTCACGCCACCTACGAGGTAGTGTACTTACCGCGATTTTTTTGTCGTGGTTTTCCCAGTAGGCCTATTCCACAGGTCTGTTGTGATTCTGGTTAGTTTGAAACTATTGCATAATAACAGATATTAGCAAGGGTTGGAAATGATAAAAGCGATGGAAATTAAAAAAAAGTAGAGGAATTTATTCGTCTGATTCATAACCTTCAAATACTTCTTCCTGCTCTTCTTGATCTTCTTCTTCTTCTTCATTCTGGGTGTAAGTAAATTGCGTCAATAATGACGTAATGTAATGGTATAACAGGGAACTGAAGACATTGAGGAAAACACTTAATAGAAATAAAAGTAGGTTCAATGAGACTGGTTCGGAGAGCGATTGGGTAACCTATCGTGAAACCAAAAGATCATATACACGTGATATAAAAGAGGCAAAACGTACCTGTTACAGCAATACTATCTGTAATGCCAATAATATAAACAAAGCTGTATGGAAAATTGTGAATTCAGAAAGACCCAAAACATGTCACTCTAATGTTTCAAATTTTTGTGCTCAGGAGTTTAACAGTTTTTTTGCTACTGTTTCTGATATTATTGCCAAGTCAATTGGAAATCAAGGCGTAAATCCCGCCATATTCCTCCATAATTTGCCTAAAATATCATCATCTTTTCTTTGCTTCTACTATCATTGAGTCAGATGTACGCCAGGCTATTTTGAAATTGAAAAATACCAGCTCTTTAGATTATTATGGAATTAGTGGTAAAAACCTCGCTTGAGTTTCTTGTTGCACCTTTGACCATATTATTCAATAAGTTTTTAAATGAGGCGGTTTGGCCTGACTGTCTTAAAATAACTAAAGTACTTCCTATTCATAAAAAAGGAGATATTAATAAACTTGACAACTATAGACCAATATCCATTGTTCCTGTAATTTCTAAAATATTTGAAATATTAATTAAAGAAAAATTGATCTCATATCTTGAAACTAAATCTATATTGACACTCATTTTGGATTTAGGAAAAATCTTTCTACTATCAAAGCCTTGTTAGCTATATTAGATCAAATAGTTGAGGGATTTGATCAAGGTAATCCCACACATGCAATTATGTGTGATTTGTGTAAGGCTTTTAACTGCGTAAATTTAGAAATACTGCTAGTAAAATTAGAATACTACGGAATTCGTGGCAAAGCATTGCAATTATTCCAATGATACTTGACTGACAGACGGCAATATGTGTGTCTCAATGACTGTGAATCTGCTTTAATACCGGTTAAGGTTGGTGTCCCTCAAGGTTCGGTCTTAGGGCCTATACTATTCCTTATTTATATCAATGACTTACCTGTTAACATTCGTAATGCTTCTTGTATACTCTTTGCCGACGATACAACCTTGTTAACCCGTGACAAGAACAGCAGAGACAGTCTAAATCCCGCGAATGACTGGTTTTCGGCAAATAATCTAAAATTAAATATTAGTAAAACAAACTTCATAACTTTTACAACTAGTAAAAATTCAGAGAAGTCTGAACCAGTTAATTTGCTTGGTATTACCCTTGACCCTGGTTTAACTTGGATACCTCATATCAATAAACTACGTTCAAAACTAGCTACGCAGATATTCTTTATGAGACAGATAAGACCATTTGTCACTAATAATGTAATGAAAATGGTTTATTTTTCATTAATACATAGTAATTTAACCTATGGTGTGCCATTGTGGGGCAACTCTAGTGGTTCGTATAGAGTTTTTGTGTTACAAAAAGCAGCTGTTCGTCTACTTGCGGGTGTCCCTATGTTAGCTCCCAGCAAGGAGATATTTGTCAGGTATAAGATTCTACCACTGACCTGCCTATATCTACTTGATTCGCTTCAACTTGTTCATTCCAATTTATGTAATTTGCAATCTCATGCTGATATACATCAATATAACACTAGGCATGCTGGAAATCTGGTTGAATCTTATTCGCGTATTACCCTAACCAAACGTAACAAACTTACAATTAGTCTGTTCAACAAGTTTGACAATTTTTTGTAGACGAAAACAGATTAAAAACATGTCTCAAAAAACCTTTCACAGGTTTACGAAATCATTTCTTTTAAATCATTGTTTTTATACTATGGATGAATTTTTAACTTTTATGAACACTACTCAGCCTATGTTATGACTACAAATGTACCACACTTAATGTACATAAATGTCAATAAAGTTCTATCTATATATCTATCGCATGTCTCCTCGTTGGTATCAAACGAATCCTCTACTGCTGGTGATTCAACATTAGAACACGACCGGCCTTGACAATTTGTAAATGCCAGAGAACAAAACAGTCCAACTTTTTTGCAACCAGATTTAGCACTGCATCCCTTTTTACAGTTGCAAAAAATTGTGTTTAGCAGTTTTTCCGGCGCAGGTGGGAGTAAAGTCTGAACTGGTTCTAATGTATTGTCGACCAACTTCCAACCCCAGTCTTTTGGGTCTAGCTGATAATCAAGCCACACTTGAACTTGGCAATATACCCGAAAAAGATGTTGATGAGCATCAACAGAGTTTGGAGGAAGACAAGCTAATTGCACTTTTACAGATTTTTGAATCGTTATATCTCAGAAACGGTGGCTCTTAGGAAAAAAGTATTGATACATTTTTTATAGATATTTTTATGATCTACAATGTTTGTCAGGGGTAATTTTATGATAAAACTTACCGTTTAGCTGAAAATCGCGAAAAAGCCATTTTTTTGACCATTGACCTCGAGTAAATTTTTTTCCGAGTACCGGAACGATGAGGAATTTTAATATGTTATTTTTAATTATGTTTTAAACAATTTTACTCACTTTCAGAGTGTTGTAAATTTATGTACCAACACTCTTATTTTTTGGTCTAATTTCACCGGACTATAGTGGATAAATGTCACTTACTGCTACCACCCTAAGGCCTCTTTCACACGAGGCGGATTTGTCGCGCGGCTTCCTACTGTCGTTCTTATCCAATTTTGACACGGATACCGTGCGGACAAATTTACCCTCTATGAAAGAGGCCCAAAATTGCAATAAAACCGATTCTTACTAATAATTCTAGGTGCCCGCCAGGCCTGTGCGGTGGAAAGCGCGGCTCGTATGAATCCTAATTTCGACGTCTACTTACTATACGCCTCGCCCGGCCAATTTTTGTTTGAAGGCACCCAGTCGGATAGACTGCTAAAGGCGTTGATGTCGTACGAAAACGTCAACATTCTGCACCTGGATTACGGGAAGTACACGAGGGGAACCCCGGTGGAAGAACTGTACCGGAAAGGGTTGATCGAAAATTCCTATTACGCTCTTTCTCACGCCAGCGACGTTCTGAGGTATGTTAGAAAACAACCACATATTCTTGGGGTCAAAATAAAACTGTTTAACTGAACTTATCTTTCCCCGAAGTTGTTTCGATTAGCCGTTAAGGGTCGTCAACGTTAGCAAAGAATTTAGTTTTTTCCAAATGTTGTTACCTATGCGAGTAGTTACATATTAGGGTGGGTCAAAAAAATCGACTATTTTTTTTACTTTATACTCTGAAAAATAGGTTGCTAGACACCTCTAGAGAAAATTCTCTCCAAATATGAGCTCTTAATTTTAATAGGAAAGTCCTCCGCTTTACAGTTTTCCATTTTTTCCTCAGTATTAGAAAAAAAAATCATATCTCTCTATCAACTGTTCGTTAAAAATATCTCTCCTCATATGCTTGTAGGAAATTGAACACTCTACAAAAAAGGTCTCTTACAATTTTTTCGTAAACCTCACCGTTTAAAAGATATTTAAGGTTGAAGTTTGATTATTTTAAGACAAAAAACCATTATGAAATGCGCAATTCATAGTTTTGTAGGAAATTAACTGCTCTACAAAAATGATCGCTTATGATTAGTCGATTAAATAAAGCGTTTAAAAGATAATAATCGTCAAACTTCAATGCACGCCAATTTTAACAGTTTTTGATTAATAATTCGGAAAATTTCAATTTATTTTATGAGTTTCAGGGAAATTTATACAAATTTGAGTTTCTATGAACAGAGAAATGTTTTAAACTATTTTTCTAGTTTTTTTTAGTCGTAAGTATGTTTGGTTACATCGAAAAAAAATTAGTGCATTATTTCTGACTGAGAGTCAATGATTCATTAAATCTTGAAAAAATAACGTTTTTGTTAGAAATTTATTATGAAAAGTATTAATCATTAAAAAAAATTTTCAATTTGTTATTAAAAAGTTTTTTTATTTAATTACCAAGTGTTTTTTGAAACTTTTTTGTAATTTTAACCATTGAGTATGATAGCGAAGAATTTTTTTGACTGCATTAGGAGCTCCACTAGTTGGAATCTGATTTTTTCCACAGTTCAATAACTTGGTCAACTGCATTTTTAGCACTTTGAATAAACACTTTAAAACTTTCAGTTTATATAATAACACACTCATAACCTCTTTCACTGTTGGTAACTTACGTTCCAAAATGTTTTGCATAGGTATACCGATCAAACGAATTTCCTTATCCATTATAGGTTAATTAGTAATAAATAAATTCATGTAGTGATTATAAGACTTATTTGTAATAAACTCAAACAGAAGAAGTAATGAAAGTCAAAACAAAAATCCCCTAGAACGAAAAATGTTATGTATATTTTGTGGAAAAAAGTTTTGAAATACGTTCTGAACACACGCTTTCAAACAAAAATAACACGATCAGGATTTATAAAAATATTATCTGAATAAAAGTTTCAAATAAATTTTCGAACAAAGAATTCCTCTATAATGGTTACTTTTACGATAGAAACTCAAATTTGTATAAATTTCCCTGAAACTCAAAAACCGAATTGAAATTTTGCAAATTATTAATCAAAAACTATTAAAATTGGCGTGCATTGAAGTTTGACGATGAATATCTTTTAAACGTTTTATTTAATCGACTAATCATAAGAGACCATTTTTGTAGAGCAGTTAATTTCCTACAAAACTATGAATTGCGAATTTCATAATGATTTTTTGTTAACGAGTTATAAAATTCATAAACAAAACAGAAATTTGTCTTAAAATAATCAAACTTCAACCTTTAATATCTTTTAAACGGTGAGGTTTACGAAAAAATTGTAAGAGACCCTTTTTGTAGAGCGTTCAATTTCCTACAAGCATATGAGGGATATTTTTAACGAACAGTTGATAGAGAGATATGATTTTTTTTTCTAATACTGAGGAAAAAATGGAAAACTGTAAAGCGGAGGACCTTGTCCTACGCCACTGCTGGTCAGCTCCCACACTTACTTATCAATGTTGTCTGCTGTTACTTTTTTAAACTAACTATGTATTTGAAACTAACGAAGTGATAGAGGGCGAATCTGCAATGGAAAATAAATTTGTAAAAACAGGTTGCCTTAACAGCTTAAGCACTATGTTTAGTTTGTGAATCTCGGTGTCAGTGAACTAATTTAAGTGAAGCACACATTCATCCACCTGTATGGCAAAAAACAAACGGCCAATGTTAATTCAGTGAATCGAGAATATCCGTGTTTGTAATACGATAGATGATTTTGCAACTTTCTGTGTAAAGGACTAGTTTTTAGTGGAATCGAAATACAATTTGTATAGTGCTGGTTGGGTTTTATTAATTTAATGTTGTAATAAAATTTGGTGTTCTGTTAAGGTAATTATTTTGGTTACTATGTTAAAAACTTGTCTCAACTCATCTCAACTTATCTCTTTTGATTACATATAAAATTGATTAAATCGGACAAATCGTTTGAGTTCTTTGGAAAAAAATGTAATATTTTATATTTTCAGCGATTAAATGAAACAACTTTGGTTTGAGCATGGATTTAATTCAAATCATTTTATTTTAACCTCAAAAGTCTGTGTATCTTGTTTCTTTGGTTGTACCTAATTATTTAATATTATGTTTGCTTTCATCACTACTTATTATTGCCTCGCTCTGTACGAAATGCTAGTTCCTAGTTCACATTTCTTTATTTTTTTTAATGATTTTTTCATCTCCGTGAAATTTGTTCCGTCAAAGCGAAATTTTTAGGTAATCCTACTGATACTTTTAGGTACTTAACCTTGTGGAAGTACGGGGGGATTTACCTGGACCTGGACGTCATAGTAATAAAAAGTTTAGAAGACCTCCCCCTCAATTTTGCAGGGTCCGAATCCGAAAGAAACGTGGCGGCCGGCGTCATGGGCTTCGCGCCCAACGGCATCGGACACCACTTGGCCAGGACCTGCCTCTACGACCTCAAGGATAATTTCGACGGCCACAACTGGGGCCATAACGGTCCGGGGGTCATAACAAGGTACCCACCTACTAGACAAGGCGAAAACCTCGCATTCGTGAGAGAAATTTTCCGACTCCGAAAAGCCTTGTTTTTTAATTGTTAATAAAGGGCTATGAGCCGCGCGCGCGCCTCTCTCATACGCGGATTCAGCTTATGTTCTTTGAATTTCTCCCACGAATGCGAGGTTTTCGCCTTGTCTATACGTATAGTATATAGGTTGTCTCATAATTAGCTGCCAACCCTGAACAGGCCGATTCTATGATCAAAACTAAGTAAAAAAGTTCATATGAACATGGGTCCGGAAATGCTTCCTAAGGGCACAGGGACCCATTGAAGAGGGAGGAATGGAAATCATTTTTTTGCAATATCTCTCAATCGCGTTGTGATAAATGAATGAAATTTGGTATACACAGCTAAATTTTGATGAGCAATTTGATGGACTAATCCATTTATTTCCACAAGGTCCATTGGGGTGGGTACGGGGGGGCCCTTGGTACTTTGCGTGTGTAACTTTTTCATCTTTGACTTTTTAACAAATTGGACAGCAAATTCCGTTTTCCCGAACTGTTTTACGTTAAAAAGGTACTCTTGTTTCAAATCGTTATCTTTAACGGTTTCTGAGAAAATCGCTCTTGAATTAATCCCACTTTGGTCAATTTCATAGTAATTTAAACAAAAAAAAATAATAATAATTTTCCTTTCCTCTCTTTTCCATTTAAAGGATTAATTTTTATTTAATTTAATTTTTTATTATTATTTTTTTATTAAAATTAGATTAAATTTAAACAAAAAAATTTTTTTTGTTTAAATTACTATGAAATTGACCAAAGTGGGATTAATTCAAGAGCGATTTTCTCAGAAACCGTTAAAGATAACGATTTGAAACAAGAGTACCTTTTTAACGTAAAACAGTTCGGGAAAACGGAATTTGCTGTCCAATTTGTTAAAAAGTCAAAGATGAAAAAGTTACACACGCAAAGTACCAAGGGCCCCCCCGTACCCACCCCAATGGACCTTGTGGAAATAAATGGATTAGTCCATCAAATTGCTCATCAAAATTTAGCAGTGTATACCAAATTTCATTCATTTATCACAACGCGATTGAGAGATATTGCAAAAAAATTATTTCCATTCCTCCCTCTTCAATGGGTCCCTGTGCCCTTAGGAAGCATTTCCGGACCCATGTTCATATGAACTTTTTTACTTAGTTTTGATCATAGAATCGGCCTGTTCTGGGTTAGCAGCTAATTATGAGACACCCTGTATAATCTGACACTACACGAAGAGTCCCAACACCGATCCCCAATAACGATTTATGTTCCTAGGTTGACGAAATTCCTCTGCGGTACGGACAAAGTCAAAGAGATGGCCGGCAGGGACTGCAAGGGTTTCACGGTGTACCCCACAGACGCATTCTACGCGGTGCCGTGGTGGAATTGGAAGATGTACTTCGACGAGGACCTGGCGGAGAACGTGTTCAACGTATCCGCCAACAGCTACGTGGTACACGTGTGGAACAAGCACAGTGAGCAATCAAAGGTACCCATATCGTCTCAAATGCCATATATCTTGTACGCCAAACGGCACTGTCCCAAGGTGGTGCGGGAGTGCCACGAGTACTTTTAATATTTTTCAACTGTTGAAAAAAAACTCTTCGGGAGGTGTACATATTTTGTTGTTACGTCTGTTGGGTGATATGAAAGGTCCAACTATCCCTTAGAAGTCCTTTTTTCAAACACGTAGTTTTATCATATGTGGTTTTATCATATCAATATAGTAATATCTGTGATTTTACATATTTTTCAAAACTTTTGCGAATATTTTACGTCAGCCCTTTTTTGGACATATTTTTCTGAACATATTTTACGCTCCTGTTTAGCGAGTGGAGGATAGAAAACACACACAGAATATTTTCAATTCGTGATATTCAACGTTAAGATGTTTATTTTTTCAGTGTTAGACGTGGAACAATCCATGATAGTGGAGTAATAAATATAATGTTACTATTATTGTTATTTTAGGGGGGGTGTCATTTAAGTAAGAGTTTTCCTTTTAACGCAACTTAGGGTTCCATAAAAAAGCAAATTTGTCACGTACTAAAATATCAGTCCTAACAAAAATAAAAAACTAACAACTTAATATGTGGCTAGAAAAGTTTGGATCTGCCTAAAGATGTAAACATTGTCAACTATCACTCACAATCAGTGTATCCACCAAGAATTATTTCTACAACATTTGCAAGCGTTAGCGTAATTCTTCCACTGACTTCACAGTGGCGGCTCGTCGTATGAAGCAACTGAGACCGGGACTCACTGTAAAATTTGGCTCTCACACCGTATATTTTGATACCTACTATTCTACCATTAACCTACATAAACAATTAGGTAAACTAATTTCCAGTTGCCTATTACATTTCTCAAAAATCAAAATAACAATATAAAATAATTGTTTGAATATTGAATGTCTCGCCGCTCGCCGTTTCCATCGGCGTGATATTGGATACTGTTATTCCCCACTAGTCCCCACCACAGTGAGGCCAGAAATTGTTTGCTTGTAGGCGCGTCACACTTGCCTACAACATGTTTCCTCCTCCACGCGAGGAGGTTAAAATAACGTTATTTAGGAGGGAACTGAGGCCGACTCAAAGCTGCTTATAGTTTTAGTTTCAGTTCGCGGTAATTGCACGCGTCGTATATTACGCGGGTCGTGTCTGATGTCACTGTGAGAGTGTGAGGGATAGTACAAACGCTTTAAGGATAAGGACGAGGCAGTATTAATTTAAAGTAAATAAAAACAACTGCCTTACAACGAAACAAAATAAGACAAAAATTGAACGTAATTTAATAGTAGGTAATAATGAATCGCTCTCACGATAATGTATTATCTCTTGAAACACTTTTTCAAGAAGTAATGATGTAAACTACTGCTCTAAACAAACTAAAATCATTAGTCAAAGAATTTCTGAATTAAGAAACGAAGAAAAATTTAAAAATCGGGCATTTCACGTCAACGGGCACAGTGGGCTGCCCAGAATAAACATGCATCAATATTGAAGTTCGACGTGTCAAAAGCTTCGTATTTAAAAACTATCGAATGCCGTCTGGTGATTTTAAAAAAACATCATGTCGGTTACAATATTGATATCAGAATTGGTTTCAGCGATCCGGAAAACATAAATTGTGGTGGTTAGACTGTGTTACTCATCGTAGAAACGATTTGAACTATTTTTAAGGTTAGGGACGAACAGTGACCAGATGGGGTTTAACGAATATTGAATTCGAAATCAGCAACCCCAAAAACGTATAGATATGGTGATTCAGTCTACAACACAGTATTTTTTGTGTTTCTTATCTATCAATATTGCTCATTAAACAGAATTTTCCATGATTGCGGACGCCATATTGGAACCGCCATGATGTGTTTTTAAGATCACCAAACGGCATTCGATAGAGTTTTTAAATACGAAGCTTTTGACACGTCGAACGTCAATATTGATGCATTTTTATTCTGGGCAGCCCACTGTGCCCGTTGACGTGAAACGCCCGAAATATTTTTAATTATGCGAAAAATATTACTGGACTTCCAAGTAAACGGGGCAAAAGTTGCGACGAATTAGAAATAATTTCGAAATATATTTCCCCTTAATTACGTACCTACTCCTTTTGGCAATTTAAATGATTTAAAATTTTTGCTTTAATAGATTCCTCAAAATTTCCCGAATATGCAAACAAATTTCCCGAAAAATCGTTTGAATTTTTATTACAAATGTATCCAAATGTTTTTGAAATAGTTAGGTTGAAGCACGAACTTAATATTTTGTACAGAGACGAACAATTTCGTAATTTAGAAGTTCAAAAAACGATATGAATTTAAAATGGTATTTTCGGAAACATACAAATTGTTTTGCCCAGTTTTAACAATTTCTGCAGCAAGTATCTCGGTAGAAAGAAACTTTTTCTGTCTTAAGCGCATTAAGACTTAGAAATACGATGACATAAGAATGCTTAAACAACTTATCAGTGATGACGATAGAAAAAGAACTATTGCAAAGTCTTAGTGCCGATCCTCAATTTTATGAAGACATGAAGAACATTATAAGTAAATTTGCAAATTTAAAAGACGGACGAATAATCCTGTTTTATAATGACATTCATTATTTTTTTTATTTTGTTAAAAGTGGAGGCAAACGAAAAGCTGGCGGCGTTGTTTTATATGTAAATAGATAAGTTGGCTGGCTACCTTATGAAAATTTGTTTTTATATTTTTTCATATTTTTAATATTCATAAACCAAGTAAGAACAATTTTGTTAATTATTAGTTGTTTTTTTTCTGTTACTTGGTTTGATTGTAAATTCAATTAATTTTTAAAGATCTGATATTATTATTAATATAATTTTTTAATTTACGGTTGTAGTAGGGCTATTGGCGAAGATCTCCATAATAAAAAATGACGTGGAAATTTATTCCTACTTATTATTTAAGAGCGGATTATATTATTATCCAAATAGTAGCTTATTATTTTTTATAAAATCTGAATGAAAATCCTGCTCGTTAATATCATTTTTCCCAGAAAATATTTACTTAATCTTCAATTTTTATCCCAACCCCTTCAAAGTAGACCCCTGTGATATTATACACTTATGCCAACATAGTTTCCAGTTTCTGGGGCCTCTTTAGGTATTGTCTTGAGCACGGTTTGCGATTTTGCCTTTATCTCATTTATTATTGAAAAACTTTGAGTATATCCTTTTCAGTTTGGGAAATAGGAAAAACTCACAGGTGTCATGTACGGAGAATAGGATTGTTGTGGCTTCACAACGGTGTTGTATTTCGCCAAGAACTGTTGGATAAGCAAAGCGGTATACGCCGGTACATTGTCGTGGTGCAAAATCCGAGTTGTCTCTTGTCGTTTTCTCCTGATTGCTTCACGCAAATTGCGCAAAACTTGTAGGTAGTATTCCTTGTGAACTATGCGACCGGTCAATAAAAATTCGTTATAAACTATTCCACTGTAGTCGAAACGGTTAGAAAGACCTTGACATTTGACCACATCATCTTCGAATGTCTTTTTGGTATTCCTGAAAACATTTGTGTCACTGATAAGCTCGTGGCTGTGAAATAATATCCTCGCCAAAGGCCTTTTTTGGCATTTTAAACGCACTTAATTTGTGTTTAACACAAAATATCATACAAACTTTCTGATCATACATTTAGTCAAACAAAAATCGTCAAAAATACTGAAGTAAGTTTTACTCATTCGTTCGCTAAACACAAACTAATTGTAATCGTGGCATCGCCTAAAAGTTGACAGGTACGTCACTGTCAATGCTGCCAATACACAGAAGAAGAGTCAACTCGATAGGCAAGATACAACACGCGCATTCCCGTCACTTTTTGGTCAAACCTCGTATCACCAATTAATGTTTGGTTGATTTCAAAATGTAATCAATCGCCTTCAGTTAATTGCTAAAATACATGTAAAAACTTTCTAATTGATGGATTCAGTCTAAGCCTGAAAATCGTAATCATATTAACTAAAAATCTATATACCTAAAATTACCAGGTTGCAAATCTATTACAAAAAAACAACACGTATGGCTTCAAACCTCAAAATTCCAGACAAACAATAACGTGATAGCTTTAAACTGCAATAAAGCCAAAAACTTGTTTCCAAATCCAAGCGGATAATCTTTTACGTGTAACCCTAAATTGGTAGTAGAATCTCAAATTGGAATTACGTTAAATTTATAACTTCCTAAATTGAGAAACGTTAAACTGACATTTAGCGATATCCAGAGGAACTACATGCCCTTCTGTGCCTTTTCTGTCCCCTCGTCTCACGATTCAAGTGGTTGATTGACGTGAGTCCCCTTCGCCACCCATGATTGAAGTGCTTGGTTAACGTGAATCCTCTCATCTCATACGATTCAAGAATAAATCCATCATTTAAAAAATATTACATTTATCTGTCAACTGAACATAATTCACTAAATACCAGAATTAACTAAACATTAGCTGGTGACGTCTTGGAGATAGAATGTCATATAGAAACAAAATAGAAATTAAAGAGAAAGAAAAGTAGTTTAACATATGCAGTAGATACCACATACTTCTATACTGATCATTTTGCAATTGACTTGAAGCCGAAAAGTGGGGCGACGTACCAGCGTATTCATACGCATGCGTTTACTTTACGGGTTTTGATTGGTTGAAAGGAACAAAGAACGGTAAGCGCCGAGCGGTAAAAAAGTCAAACCAAGCTAACCTAAAAAATATTAATATTCTCATTTCTTAGTTTTGTTTTGTGTTGTGCTACTCTAGTGTTTTGGTGAAACTGGTAGGGTATAGTGTATATTTTAATAAATAAATAAATAAATGTATCTTTTCAGTTTTATTTCATAATCTGTTTAAATCTGCACTAATGCTTCTTTTAATTTATCTTGTGTTGATATTTAGTAAAAATGTTTCAAAATTATACTCGATAAGAGCCTTCCTTAATCGTGATGGACATTATTATCGGATAGGTCTTTTACAGATATTTTATAGCATGTTTTTTTATATTATCAAATAAACTGCAGAAACCACTATAATAAATAATTATATAATAAACTTTTTTTTATTAAAAAAAAATGTCAGTTGTACCCGGCTAGAGCAAATAGTGGCGATTTTTTGAAATACTAAGTCTTGTTTAATAAATATACCAATGTCATTTAAAAAAATGTCCAAAATTACGAACATACCTATGTACATAGTTTTAAAAGCATATACATTTGTATTCTGTTTTATTTCATTTGAGCCTGCAAAATATTAAATAGGTTATGCAGATACTTACGTTATTTATTGAAATTAATAAATAGTAAAAAATAAATTGTAAAATAATGTGTTAGATAAGGAGCCTATCGCCTAACTCATATAAGAAATTGGTAGAAAAGTAAATATTTAGAAATTGAAGTGAACTCAGTGAAAATAGATTTAATATCTCATATGTATACAAATCGGCTATAGTACAGAGCATGCAGTGTCAGTCTTTTAAATTTAAATGCAACCGCGCCTAATTATGGAACATGCGCAGATCACAAGAAATACGTCTCGCCCCCACTTTTTGGAAACAAGGTCATCCATTGAAATTATAGGTAATGATCAGTATAGGATAGAAGTATGTGGTAGATACTGATTATCTATTTGTGTGACATAACCTCAAAAACATGTCAAAATAGCTTTTTTATGGTGTTTCTAGTTTAAATATCTCAAAATCCTGATGTGGAGCATTTCTATGATTCGGAAAATTTGAAAAATGTGCTCATTTTGTTTACCTAGCGTTAAAAGGAAAACTTATAGAAATATCCTGGATTTTTATTCCTGTTTCAAAATCATTAGATCTAATATCAACGTGACGTTTTATACTGGAAACG